TTACATAAGGGGCTTCAACCGGAGGGTGTCGCATGGGAAGGAGGTGGAAGTCCCCACCCACTCTGCTGAGCGCCCTGCCTCGGAGGTCTACATGAGCCAGAATTGGGTAGAATTCGGGAGCGACATTCTTCTTACGGAGATAGTCTTCAGTGAACGGTTTCCATATGGGTCTGTTCTGCGCAGCACCTTCCCAAGTGATAGGCTGACCTGCCTTACGATGGTCCTGCCAGGCAAGGTGGAGAAAACGGCTGCAGTTAGGCCAGTACCCCGGTGCTCTACGCTGTTGTGCAACATTCAGGAGTTGCCACGATGAGCCTCTTATGCTGAGGGCTTTCGAGATCGGTCGGACTTGTGGGTTGGGGAGTCTGGCAGCATGACCCCAGTAGGAGAAAAAGCTTTGGATCTGTATATGCGTCCATGTTTCATGTCCTGTCGCCTGTGCCGCCATCCTGGCTGCTCTTCTCACACACACCCAGCTATCAGTGACGGCCTGAAGAGAATCACGTGGGAATTTACATATCCAAACAAGGAAATTAGTTTGGGTGACCTTCAGGGATTGATGTACTGCTGTCGTGGGCCTGACTGCCGCGGACATCCATCGCCAGCGGCTAGTTACAAATGTTGACATCAGGTGAAGCCTTTTACACAATGGGGCTGAGCATTGCGTAAGGAAAGAGAGATACCCAAAGAAGGCATTAGTGGCTTGGACCAGTCGGGCTGCCAGAACAGCTTGGCAAGTTAATCGAAAGCCTAGGAGGACACCCAAGTAGAGAAAGGTCTCCACTTCTTCCAGTTGGGGTCCCCCCCCAGCTGAGACGGGGCCTGATGGCACCTGTGGTGATCGCCGGTATTTGCATTTCTCCCATGAGAGGTGCAGTCCTATGGCTTGGAGGGTCCGCGAAAGATCCTCCAGCATACGGTTCAACTGTGGAATAGACGTAGCAAAGATGAGTATGTCATCCGCGTACTCCATGCAGTGCCGGGGCATGTTTCCTACAGTATTACTGAGCCAAGTGTACTCACACCGTTGCCATTTACAGAGGACTGGTTTCAGAAAGAAATCCAAAACACGCGCAAACAGTTCAGCACCGTATGGGGTGCCCTGGAGGATGCCTTGGGTAAGCGGTTGTTTCCAGGTGGCATCCGCGAAGGAAATCTCTACCTTTGCTTGTGTGACCAGCCTAAGTAGGAGCATGGATTCAGGTGTGGCAGGGACTGAGGCCAGATATTTAGCGACTGCTGTATGTGACAAAGTGTCGAAGGCTTGTGAGATGTCAAGCTTGGCTACAACAAGGGGCATGGACCATTCCGATGCAAGGTGAACTACATGTCTAGCTGCTGTGATGCCATCCATTACCTGGGCTCCCGGAATTCCCAGGATCTGTCCTCCTTCACCTACGGGGGGGAGGGTTCGTCTAAGTCGGATGAGCAGAATTTTCGTGAAGAGTTTGTAATCTGCGACCGACAGCACGATGGGCCTAAGATGTTTAGGCAAACACGGTTCTTTGATTTTAGGCAGTAAGGTTAGACGCGACGTGAACCAGGTTTCTGGGGGGGGCAACTCATTGGAGAGGTACCGATTAAAGGTCCGAAGTAGGTGGGAAGAGGCCTGGGTTTGGGCTAGAATTTGCAGCAGTTCGTAGGTGACCCCATCAGCGCCAGCACTTTTGCCTCCTTTGAAGGTGTTGAGGGCTCCTTCAAGCTCATCTTTGTCAATGGGATGTGCTGGGGATGGAGGAGTTACACACGTGGCCTGCAATATGGCTTGTGGCAAGAGGGGGTCAGGATTGTTTGGGTCAGTAAATTTGACTTGATAGAAGTGTTTCAATGCTGAAATCGCTCTATCCTTGCCCCCCATACGGAGCGCGAAAAGGCCATGTGTCGTTCTAACAGCCTGACGTTTACGGAAATAGGAAATAGCCTTATAGTCTCCCGCCGCTGCCCTTTCCAGGAGTTCAGTTCTCCAGACTCTCTTGTCTTGAGATCTTTGCTGCACTATCTGGAGCGCCAGTTCTTTCGATAGCTGGGGGTCTGAACCTTTGCGGAGCGCAATCAGCTGCTTAATGTAGGCGGAGTCCTGATACCTGCACGGCTTGGGCCTACGGGAGCTCGCCGTAGCAAGAGCTTCAAGATCTACCGGTGAGATCGGCGTGTGGTTCTGTTCCAATCTTTCTGCAAGTTGATTGCAAGCTAGTAGTGCTGCGGTTACGTCAACATCCCACGTGCCGCATTTATTCGTGTGAGGACATCGTCTGTGTTTCTTTGAGGGCTTGTGGGATACCAGGTTAACCCATACCAGTCTATGGTCTGATCTCAATATTGAGTCTGAAGAGGTGGCGACTCCCTGATCCGCAGTCTCTTGATAGGGTGTGGAAAACAACAAATAGTCTATTCTGCTGTGGGAACCTCTGCTATTAGACCACGTATGTGCATGTGGTGTAGTATGAGTGGTCCCAAAGGATCTAAGGAAGTGCTGAAGCATCGAGCCTCTAGCGTCCTGAGCATCCGGCTGAACATGCATTAATTCGTAATTAAGGTCACATGCAAGAAGGAGGGAGTCCTGTAGTCTGTAGTCATGCAGCATGTCGTGCAGGGTTGTAATTTGATGGTGCCACACGTGCATGCAATCATCCCTCTGAGTATGTGGGAGATGTAGGCTTGCAACAAATTCTCTTGCCCCTGCATGCTTCAGAGTGACCATGATGCCAGTCGATAACGGTTGCACATTAATTACATCACAGAGCCTATGCACGGGGATTCCGACCGCCGATCCTCGGAATGCATCCGGCGGCGAGGTGCAAAAGAAGGCGTATTCCTTACCAGCCAAGGTACATTCCTTGAGACACCAACTGTCACTGTTCACATCTGACAGAGAGCCTACTTCCTGAAATCCCAGAAAGTCAAAGCGTCCCACATCCATTACATCCCAAACATCTTGGACTGCCTCAAGTGATTTCCCCTGAAGGTTCCAAGAGGCCAAGGAAGTCGGGCGGGGGGGGCTGGGGGAGTGAGCTAGTCACTCTCTAGTCCTGCCACGGCAGTCAAGCCAGAGCTGCGGGAGCTGGTCCGGCGAATATCCTGTTGCCTCCGAGAAACGAACTGCCGACAATGCCCATCCTGTATGTCCCCCTTTGACATCAGTGAGTTGAACATCTGCTGGGTGAGAGTGGCGTGGGGCATGGGCATTGGGGGAGATGAGTACTTGGGAGGATCCTACGTACACATTCCCTCGCCAGTCAAATTCTGACTGGGGATGTGGGGAGGAAGGGGTGTGGGGGGGTAGCTGATCACAAAAGTCTTTCACCTGTAGTATGGCACGAATTTTGTGCCTCTCCTGTAGCGAGCGATGTCTAGCAATCCATAAGACGGCATTTTCACTACCAGATATACTACTCTTCCATTTGTCACGACGCAGCTTCTTGAGGGCTTCCATCTGGAAGGATCTTTGCTGCGGGAGAGTGACGCAATCTGTAGGGAACTTGAGCGCTACTCGCAGGAAGTTCGTCCGAGCAAAGGGGGACCAACACGACCCTAGACAGTCTTGGAGATCAGAAATCCGAAAAAGTGACTTGACTTCTTTTTCTGCAAGGTGCTTAGGTGCTTGTCTCCAACCGCCCACCACAACTTGCAGGTCCATTTCATTCTCCTGTGGCGACCCCGTAATGCGCGGGGTGCCAGAACCCCTAGGCGTGCCTCCTTGTCGGATGTGGTGCTGAATTTCCCGAACTCGTTGTTCCAGGTCCTTAAGTTCCTGGACTTGTGCCTCAAGATCCCGAAGCTGGGCTTGTGTAGCATGCTCTTGAACTGGGCTTCCAAGGTGTCCAGGCGAGCCATAGACACTTCATGCAGGGAGTTGTGTTGCTGCAGGGTGTTCTGCATGACATCCAGCCTATGGGCATGTTGTTGTATCTCTGTGCCAAGCGTGCCCAGGTCCTGTCTGAGTTTACCTACTGTGTGGTGAAGTTCGTCCTGCTTGCCCAGCATACCTTGCATGCTGTGTTGCAGTGCCTGGACCCAGGGGGGGGGTGGGTCATCCCTTCCAAAAGGTTTGTTGGCGGGCGCTGCCGACGGCTGAAAGGGTGTTTGGGTATGGGCCCTTCGAGGTCGCATTTCCTCGTCCTGGCGTGTGAGGTCATGATACACCGCGAGAGCCCCCGAAGCCGCCCCACCAAATTCAGGCAACCTATCCCCAACCCGGAGGCGCTTAGCATCTGGGGCAGACCCTTCAGCACGACTCAGATCCCCCGGCGGAGGATGGGTTAGTTCTTCCCTGCCCAGTGCAGCATCGAGAGCCGCCTGCTCCGCTGTAGGGGGGGGGTGTGGGGGGAGTTCAGCAGGTACAGTCGAGTCATCATCTTCCGGTTGGGGTAGAGTGCGAGGGGAGGGAGCATGGAAGGGGAGAGTACTACGCTCTTGACTGATTGCCGCTCTAGCACGGGCGTGCTGATCATGGGCGTTCAGAAGTCCGTCGACATCAATCGGAATCACCTGCCCCCGCCCGGCCCCGCCTTCATCCCGCTGAAGTTCCACATCAATCGGTGCATTTCCCCCCCCAATCGCGCGCCCCCCCCCGAGTGGTCCAACCCCGAAGAGTTCCTCTTCGCCCTCCGCCCCCCCCGCACGCCCCGCCATGCCCCTGCCTGTGTGGACTCAGTCAGAGAGAAGAAAGGAGGAGAGAGAGGGTTCAGGGTTTAGGGGTCTAAGGGTTAAGGGTTAAGGGTTTAGGGTTTAGGGTTTAGGGTTTAGGGTTTAGGGTTTAGGGTTTAGGGCTTAGGGTTGAAGAGCTTGGGCACACACTCGGACTCCGACAGCACTAACAGCTCTCCAAAACCGAAAGAAGCCTAAATACGACACAACCTGATCCAAGATGCTCTGGCCCACTCTGAAACCGAAGCTACTAAGCCTGCAAAAAACAATTCGGCTCGAAAGTCTTGAAGTTCCTTAAAGCCAGCCATAGCGTCGTGATTTATCCAGATTTATCCACATATATGCCCAAGCACTGGTTCGGAATACCCTGGTGCAGGGCCCACGGAGGCGTCTCAACGGCAAAATCTGGCGGCTCTAGTGTCTCTCCTCGTTCGGCGGCGTCGGCAAACCTCTTGTCTGTGGCTTGCATGATCTTTGTTTAGGGACTGCTTTCTTTGTTGTTTATTTTTGGGAAGTGGGCCGGGGGGGGGACGGAGGGGGGAGGGGGCGGGGGACGGAGCAAAGAGGGGCGGAAGGTGTAGGGTTGAAAGAGAAATTTGAATGAGGAGCTTGTCGAAATCAATCCATGTCCGCCAGTGGCCAAAAGGATCGTAGAAACGGTCCCGCCGCCCCAGGAGAACGCAGAAGCTGTGCTCATGCTCCGCAGCGATGCCATACCTCGAGGTTGGGGGGGCAGACACAGACGGTCGAATCTCAACAACGGAATCTGTTGTGGTGGTTTCCGAAATTGGGGGTATTTTATTGGGGTCCCTATATTGTAAGGGAATTCTACTATTTGGGGTCTGTCTTAGGGGTCCCCCATTTTCATAAAGCCCTCTTGTGGAAGGAGAGCCGAGATACATCGGCAACTTTGACACCAGTCGGCGTGCCAGCTGTAGCACATCGTCGTGCCTGGGTATGCTGTCCCTGGAGAGTCCGGAGTTGCTCTTGTCCCAGACGGGTGAGAAGGTTGCAGCTTTGAGCTCGACGAAGTCACACTGCGAGAGGTTGATCAGGTCCGCATAGCCTTGGCAAGCTTCATCATCTGCGGCTACGCCTTTCAGCACCGTCATGCGGCAAACTGTCCTCGACAGGGCTACAGGGGCTACACAGAAGTCGCTGAGGCAAGCGTTCGACAGAGGCGCATTGCGAGATGCCGAAGAAACTAAACAATGCCATGGCGTGCTTGCGCGTGCGCGCAGGTTGTCCTTTGTTTCGGATGCTTCTCTTGCAGGGTGGCCAGTGACCGGCGTAGACGATCCCAGTAGTCTCGGAAAAGAGGCCGACCGACGTCCCTCAACGTCGTAGCATCCGGGGCGTCCAAGGACACGTACCTTCCAGCCACTCCCAAATCAAACCCTCCGAAGGACTCCGAAGAGGCCCAAACATCCCTTGAGACACTCAACAAAAAAAACTCATCAGCAGTAGCGGTGATCCCCTGTTACGAAAGAGACCTCGCATGGACCCCGTAGTGTGCCCACCGACCTTACGCTTGTCATCTGCCGGGGTGCAGCTGCGTCACCCAGGGAAGCTCGGCGAGCTGGTCCGGGAACCTGAACCACAAAACTGGAGTGTTAGCATCATTCAGCGGGGTTGGTGATGGAGAGATGTCGGATGGTTCTGTAACGCTTGGGAGCCTTCCGAACAGTATGGCCGCTATGGGCTTGAGTTTTCAGGTTCCGGGGGGGGGGGGAGGCTTCAAGGGATTACATTCCCACACACTATCTTTTTGCATTGAACACGCTCGCATCTTGTGTTGAGCCAGTGTTGAGCCCAAGAAAACGTCAGAATGATTCTAAATTGTGGGTCATGCATCTGCCCGTTGGTCACAAAGAATGTGGAGATGCGGCGCTTGTGCAGGGACGACACGAACTCCGCCACCTTTGGGTAAAGCACCTTTTGTCACAGAAAGCAGACCGCGCCGCACACCCAAACCAAGCAACGTGTCAAGACACGAGCTGCTACGACAAAACTTTACGGGAGTCTCTGAAGACGGTTTGATGTAAAGATTGAAGATGCGCAATCAACGAGTCATGCAGCCACTCGCTGATTACACGCTGAGTGTTGAAGCACCAGCTGCATGACGGTATCAAGCATGCTCGTAGGGCATCTCACCAATGGCCGAGATCACACTGTTTAGCACAGTGCTGTTGACAGAACACTTAGCCAATCAACCATTGCCACATATTGCCACATGAGAACCGCGCACGTCTCGGAAAAAGCGTGGTTAGTTGAAAAGCTTCCTCCAATCGAGTCGCTGGCTCCCCCACCAGGGACAAAGCCACGTGGCGCACCGAGCGTGCGGCGAGAACCCGTTCGGGCAGAGCGTGCCTTAAGGCCCAGAAGACAAAGGCTTCAAGAGGCCTACAACCTACGAATTCCCAGAGCCTTCCCATGATAAAGACCTACGAATTCCCAGAGCCTTCCCATGCTAAAACCTTTTGGGAGGGTTCCTGGGCCCCAAATTCACTAAGCTTCCGTCTGCTATCTTGTGCTCTTGCTCTGTGGACGCTGTGCTTTGAGTGGCAGCGTGTGGGGCAGGGGATTATTTTGGAGCCATGTGACAATAACTTGAACTGCAGTCACTACAGAGCATGCAAGTACATAAGGGCAATCGAATGGAAATATTTCTTACCAGCGCGTCGACATGAACCAAACACAAGGTGGTTCGTCAGAACAGGGACAACACTGACAACACTCAAATGTTGCGGCCACCCGTCCGAGACCATGTGCTGGGAAACATGGCACCACGCATGAAACGGCTCTGAGTTCGCGAAATGTCTACCACATGTCTCTTGTGTTAATCCCCAACTGAGCTCCGGGTGTCACGGGGCCACACCTGCTCCGCACCGGCGATTAAAAAACTGAAAATGCTTTCTACATCTTGAACCCGGAAATGCTTAATCGATAAATTGCAAGCTCGAAGATATTCTTATGAGCGTCGCCCCGCACTCTAAACAAAGGAAGCCTGGACAGAATAGACAGATGCGGCCCATTGCTTGAACACCCTCGCGAGCACGGAAAATCAGTCGGCACTATGGCTGCAACGTGGATCAAGGCGCGGGGACTCGGAGACTTCCTCCACAAGCTCCAGGTGGTTGCCTGGGGCAGAGTTTCGTGCCAAGGCTTAAGAGCAGCTTTGGGGGCAGCTGGGTGGCAGCTGGGGCACGAATGCTTTCCTGCACGATCCACTCCGGGTCATCCATCTTGAACGTCCAGGAAGTGGTCACTGGGTTCTCATGATTCCGCCAGCAGAACGTGCACTTGTTTGCGCAGGCCACAGACGGTGTTGCTTCCATGCATTGGTGGGAGTTGATGCCGTAGAAGGTGTGCTTGTAGCACTGGCCTTGGCCAAGGATGGCATTCCGCGTCCAGCGACACTGCTTCACGGCACTGTGGCTGCCCACCAATCGGTAGCCGCTTCTCTCCATGTTCTCACGATTCGTCGGTTGCATCATCTCGGGCCGGCTATCCGACAGCTCCTCCTCTATGGGAGCCACTTTCGCCATCTTCTCCGGAAAGCGTCGCAGAACCAGCTCAACGATGGGATCGTGACCGTTCTCACAGGCCCATGCCAAGGGGGTCATGCCAGCTGAGTCTTGCACTTCCATGGCACGCTGCGCCTCCGGAAACCTCGGTTGCTGAAGCGAGTTTTTGTTACGGAATAATGATAAAAGACTTAAATAAGCTTTAAGGAAATAACCTTTTGCGTGCAAATTTGTAACATTCCCCCTCGCCCCCAGCTCCCAGCCCAGCAACTGATCTAGCAACCGCCTCACCACTCCAACCAAGCCGGTTTGACACGCCGCCAACAGAGGGGTCTGCCCATCCGCATCTGGCCGCAGCGCAACTCTTGCTTCCTCTTCTTCTGTGGAGAATAACGAACCGTTGATGTTCTTCCGAAAGCTTACGACTTAATTCGGGCTCTATGGTCGGGCGAAGGGGACCTGCCTAGATCTCAAGAAGGCTAAAAAGAAGATCAGAAAACTAAGAGACGCTCTTGCTTCTATCTCCCCGTTCCAAGATTCTTCTGGGAAATCCCGCAGGAACTGGTTGGCAATCTGTGCTGACCCCGCGCGGCAGGCCTCGTCTGATCACAAGCGCTACACAGGTGTCCCTTTTCGGGCGGCGAGTTCGCAGAGGCCCACCCCCGACTGAAACAAACCCCTGCCTCAAGAAGCGCTCCAGAAGCCACTGCCCGCACCGCGTCGGGGAACCGCTCCGACAGGAGCTGGGCTACGCTGGCCTCCAAAAGGGCAGACAACTCGACACACCTGCTCACGACTCAGACCGGGCCAGTTTCGTCCACACAGTTTCCTAAGAGCCCGTGCCTTCTGGCGGGTCAAAACGAGAGAACAGGCACGCACTGTTTTTTTTCTGCGCTGTCTCGGGTATCCGAGCGCGCACAGGGTTAAGGTGTGCTCGACCTTATACCATGATTTTCGTTTCATGGCGGAAGCGCAAGCATGCCCAAAACAAGCAAACCAGAAGTCAGCCCAGTGGCACCACGATTGAACAAACTAGGTTTACCTTCAGTAAACCCACAAGGAAGTCACCAAAAATCCTTACGAGGCCCACCTAAGCGCCAACCTCAGCATCGCCCCTGCGACCCAAACCAAACCGCAGCTGAATCTCTGCTTCTGCCAAACCCTAAATGCCAACCCTGTAAGTTCCTGTTCTTTGAGTATGCTGAGAGTTGAAACTGCTGACAAGTGGTGAAGCCCCAACAAAATGTCCCAGGATGCTTGCGCTGCACAGAATGATGACTAAATCTGGGGTCAAGCAATCCTCCACAGATACACCGTGCTTGAAACATCTCTCTTTTGCTTTAGCAGAGGCTGCGATTCACCAAGCCTGGAGCTATCAGCTGCAGTGTATCCATTGGAACTCAAAGAGGCCCTAGACCCCAAGCCCTCCCGGAACACTGCCTGCCCGCACCTGGCGGCCTCCACCTTACTCGTGTGCTTCTCTTTTGACTTCAGCTTGGGAACTGTTTGAGGCAGGACCTCTCAAGACGAGGGCCTCGTGGGGGCATGGGAGAGCCTAAACCCTAAACCCTAAACCCTCAACCCTAAAACCCCTAAACCCTAAACCGACAAGGTGGCCGACCAGGCACCGCATCTCGCCCGGCACAAGCCTCCGCCTCGGTGGGGAAGCGCCGGATCAGCAGCTCAGCGATGCCTCGCGCGCTGCGCTCTCACGAAAGCTGCGCATTCTCACCGCAAATGGCTGGCAGGGTCTGTGTTGGGCATTGCCAGGGTTGCCAGGATTGTGCAAGTAGGGGGATCTCGGGCCAAACTGCCTTTGTAGGGGCAAAGTGCCACGAAAACTGTGTGGGCAAATGCTGGTCCCAAACACTCGTGTAGCCGCGGCGGCTCGCGTTGAACAGACAATAGTCAATGGAAGGGCGGACATCACCCGCAAAGTGCGTTGTCAAGTGCTCCACCACCTCGTACCTGGGTCTGTCCCTCTACAAGGGGCGCAGAACTGAATAAGGATTTTGGGTGTTTTTCTTTGGGGGGGAAGCTTTTTCTGTTTTAGGTATTGTGTCTCTCGCCTAGGCGTCGTGCGCATTCCAAAATCGCAAAGGACGATGCTCTCGGGGGTTTCGCGTGCCCGTGTCGCTCGCGCCTACGCGCCGTGCACGTTCCAAATCGCGAAAGGGGGTTGTTATTTACGTACATATATGTGCGTATATGTTCTTTTGATCAATGAAAGTATGCGATGTTAAATGTATGCAAATTAGAAAAATAATATAGCTATGCTAGATTGAAACAAGGTTTTGTAGCACGGTGCTTTGACACAATTCCTTTGGACTGCAGTACGTTCTAAAACGCAAGCTTGCACACTTTTCAAGAAGGCGGGGAGGGGGGGAGGGGGGGTGGCCGTTGGAAGGGGGATGGGGGGGTGGGGGGGGATGGGGGGGCAAAAATGGGTTTGGAAGCCTTCCTGCTTACTAAAAGCCGACAAAAAAAAAATCCTCGGACAAGCTTGGGATGCACTTCAGATAGAGTCCAAACTCCTGAAACCCCCCAGCTCAGCAAAGATTCAAGTTCCGGCTGCAGGCCCACTGAAGTGGAGTCAGCTGGCGCTGGGCAGCAGGTCGCAGCAGGGCCTACATGGGCGAGCTTCTTTCTTGACAATTTTCGGGCCGTAGATCTTTTGGCAAATTCTAGGGCCGAAGGAGGAATGGAAGTTGCGGAATGGAATAAAATGGTGCTTCTAACTACGTACGTTTACTTCTAGCCCTTTTTACCTCCCACTACTCGGGAGCCTCCCTGACGCGCTCGGGCTTCTCGCGCAAGAGCTGCAACGCCGCATTGGACTTACCTTCACACCACGGCTGATATTTTGCTCTTTGAGGCCGCCTGGGTAGACTTTGTTAATTCACGATCAGCGAATTGCGAACGGCAAGTGGCAACCCTCCAATGCTGAATCCAGCGAGCCTTGAAAGCAAACCCTGCCTTGCGCAGTACTCACTACAACTTCCACTTTGCTTTGGCCTTTGCGCCTTGGGGGCCCAAGGGACGCCTACAATGGTGCCCCGGTATGTCGGTATACGCTGGTAGTCCTAGTCAGCTTCGTCGGTTGTTGTTCGGAACCTCGACTTAGACTAATTGCTAACCAATGTTCGGAAGGTGACCTGCAACGTGACCTGTAACAGCGCTCGATCGAAATTGATCGAGAAACTCCTGCTCTGGCCCTGCACACATCCCAAGTGGCCGTCACGGCAGGCGATAAGCAGCTCCTCGTCAGTGTCCAGGCTGTACGAATGCACAAACATATCATCACGATCACGTGTGAACCCAAGGCTTTGTATCCTCATCTCAACCTGCCACCAAAAACCTAGGGCAGTGCTTTCCTACGACTCATCACCCTCCACGCGATTTCTGTCAGAGGCGTGTCGGAGTGTGGGAGTGGGCCCCAAAAGGTAGCCTCATAAAAGGGCTTCCGCTCAGCGTACGCGCGCTGTGAGGGTTTTTTATGGGTTTGTGGCAAAAAGGGCTTCTGGGAGGTGAGAGGGGTGATAGCCGCGTTTGGGGTTGAGGGTTCAAGGGTTTTGGGGCTTCGGGGTGCAGGGTGTAGGTTTTCGCGGGGGGAGGTTTCAGGGTTCAGGGCTTGGGGGGACCTCGCCCTTTCGCTTTGTGAGCTGGCGCGACTCACTTCCAGCCCTCCGCCATGCACGAGGCACACGACGCAAGGATTCGAAGTCCGGCAGGTTGCCGTTTAACGTTGATTTCAACATTGCCTCGCGCGCGCTGGGTTTCCTGCCCTCACCGCTCAGTGACGTTGAACTTTTGTCCTGGTCCCCGCTTGCCGTCGTCGTGGGCTGTAACGCCTCTTAGGCGAACGTATGGCTGCCGCCACATCGCTCTGATTGACTGTGGCATCGGAAGTCAGCTCTCCGCCTCTAGATCGCATCTAACCATCCAATACGCATTTGGAAAGGGAACAAGCCAAGATCACCTCCACTTCACAAGAGCAGATGGTCATGGCGTTTACGGGCCTTGGCCTCAAACCTTCAAGGGGACGGGGGCGAGTGAGCTAGAGAGAAAACGAGCAGTCAACATCTTTCGCAGCTGACCATTTTCGGGACAGTCCCCCCAAAATGGCACATTGGACGGCATGACGGGGTGGTGCATGCTCTTTGCACGGGGGACGCCCTGAACCTGCTGGGAGCAAGAATTGGACAGAAGTCCCCGGCTCAAGACGCATGAAAGAAACGGAAAGAGGGAGTCAGAAAGCAAGGGTGGAAGCGAGAGAGAGAGAGAGAGAGCCAGGCTTTTCCTTTCAATAAAGAATGAACAACAGCACCCCGAAGGAGGGAAGGACCTCTACAAATCCTCCAAGATCTGAGACTCGTGCGCGTCCGCACTAAACCGCGTCTCCGCTGCTGAAACAGCAAGCTCTGTGATAAAAACGTATACCGTTATACAGCCACAAGGTATGCGAGGGAGCCAAAGTGAATCTGAGGATGTCTGAAAAACACCCCCCCCCCCCTTCATCCCCCCTCCCCCCTCTCCTCCGTGACATGCACCGCCTTTTTGGTCGAGGCCGTCCCGCGTGCAGCCGTGGGCCTCTTGAGCCTCCAAGAGTTCGAAGACGCATTTAGGGCTTAATGTTGACTTTAAGAAACCCCTAAAAACCCTAAAAACCCTCAATGGTTTTGTTTAACGTTAAAAACCACTCTGCTTGACTCGCGCTAGCAGTGGCTTCGAAGGCTGAGGCTGTTCAGGCGCTTCGGCTCACAACTCGGGCAGCATGCGAAGGCTCCATTAAGCCTGACTCGTTCCGGAAGCAGCTCCAGAACACTTCTTCGAGTCGCGTGGGCGCATCAAGCAAGAAGATTGGGGGTCATAGTGCTCCTGGACCCCAGACCTCATCTACCACCTGCTCAACCCCCACGCACGAAAGCCTTGAAACCCCAGCCTGCGCCCTTTGAGACAGACTCCCCAGAGAACCGCAGCCGCAAGGACCTGGAGCACCAGGGAGTTTCTGGAAAGGGCCAGCTGGGGCTATGAGGAAGACTTCAAGATGCAAGGGCTTTGATGTCGCGCGAAAACTGGATTTTGGCATTAGACCAGGCGGATCTCAGGTTTCAGAATCTTGCCACGGCTACCCCGATTCTTCAACAACGTCTGTCGGTGTCTCTGCAACCAGCAAGCCATGAGTACCTGTGTCATGACGGAGTTGGAGAGGGCTTTGCATGAGATAGGTCAACACTGGGTCAACGATGGCTGTCACACCAGTAGCTGGGCAATCATGCCATTGACAGCAACAACAGGCCTCAACAGGACAATTGTCCAACGAACCCTTCGTCTGAACCCGGCTGAGCCCTGGAGCGTACCTGTTCCGACCACTGGAGCCTCTTGCGGGTTGTCCGGCAGGTGGTCCCACGCCAGCATGGGGGCGAAAGTGGTGGCTCCTTGCTTCTCTGTCCCCCCCTAAACTAGCCTGCAAAGTATGAAGCCTTTCCAGAGAAACTGAGCCCTGCAAAGTAAACCAGAGAAGTTGTACGCGTTGCACGATGCCCAGAGGACCCAAACAAGGCTAGGACTGCCTTTATCAAGCAATGCCTTAAAATCGAAGCCTTAAAAGCAATGCCTCACAAGCAATGCCTTAAAAGCAATGCCTTATAAAAGGCAAAGCCTTAAAAAGCATTGCATCTCGAGCATCAAGCCGATGAAGCTGTGGCCACGCGTTGGAGCTCAAAGCCATCTGACCGTCTTCGAAGCCTTGGCCTCTTCCCCTACAATCCGTGTGAGGAGGTGACTTCCATCGTTTCTTATGTCCTCATTGAATGGTTCCTCATGGCTTTTTTCTTAGATCTGCTCGGGGCTTCAGGGTTTGGCGGTCTCGGAGCTTCAGGGCTTGCTTTAGATGGCTTTGGGGCCTGTGCCTTCTTCGGAAATTGTCGGCACAGCTGGGTTTTCCAGCATAAAGCAGAACGACTCGCAGACCAGCCGCACTCAAGGGCAAGAATTCAGCGCAAGGTTTAGGGCTTGAGGCTCGCATGTACAGGGATCATGAGAGAGCACGAGTACTATAACTGTCGACCATCACGTCCCTTGGGAGCCGAAAGCTGAGAGCCGACGAGGCGATCACTGCAGCGACTCCTGAGAGTCCAAGGGGGCATCCAAAGACCTCCATTGTTTTGAGGGTTTAGGTCTTTTTTTTGCTGGGTAGGGTTTAGGGTTTAGGGTTGAGGGAAATGGGTTTGGAGCTTAGAACTTTGGGGAGCCTCCTGGGCTCCGGGCTATGCTGGCAAGGTCGTTCTCGGCCTCCGCGCCCTCCTCGGCCTACGAAGCACACGGTTCTCAAGGCTCAAAGGCCCCCCCCCTTTTCCCTCCCTCTTTCAGCCCGCGCCTCGCAAGGAGAACTCTTGAATCTCCTCTGAGGGCCGGAAAGGAGATTTGCAGCGTCAGGGTTTGGCTTGTAAACTCGTGGCGTCTTGCACCTTTGGCTGCCTTCAGACCGTGGCACAAACCCTCGAAGCAAATAGCTACAGGCAGCAACTGTGCAATTGCAACCGGCCCAACACCCCAAGCCAAGCGCTCGTCCTGCAGGACCTCGCTCAGCGGCTTCGAATAGTTTGTCCTGGCGAGAGAAAGGAACTTTCGCTCTTGCTTTGTAGAGCTCAGAAAGCAGGAGATCATGCCAAGCATGAGGTGCTAGAGCCGTCCCTGATCCTAACATCGAAGGAGCTACCGCGCGAAGGACACCTGCAGCCGAGCCTTCCTCAACCTTCCCCCCTGGTTTCACGAGAGGGACCCGCAAAAAACACCCAAAGACCCAAAAAAACCCGCAGCCCTCCGGCTCAACCCAGCTTTCTTGTGCCCTTAGAAGTCCAGCCGTTGCACTGCAGGCGCATGGCCAAGTCCGAGAGCGCCTCGTAATCTTGGCCTGGCGCAGAATGTTGGCCTGCGCTACCGGGTTTTGAGGGTACCTTGTCAGGGGTTTCGGCTTCGTGTGTTTCGTGAGGCTGTGCTTGCTTTCGTAGGATCCGCTCCTGGACCTGTACTTCAGTCAACCGCATCAGCACGTGTAAGGTCGCGACTGAAAAAGGAACCATCCACACCACGGAACTTGCTGGAGCAGTGGTTAAACCTTGCGGGAAGCGTTGCCCGGTCATTGGATTGTCGCTGTCGTGGAGTGCTGTATAGTGCTGTCGCACCAGGCTTGACACGCAATCACAGGGCACGTTGCTGGGGCGCGTGCTCGATGTATCCGAATGACATCTCCCTCTGCTTGCACGCCTCGTACCCAGCAGGCTCGGCTACAACTCGGGGACACTGCTCGGAGAAGGTCGCGCTTTGAAACAGTATGAAACACTGCACATGTCGGATGATCGGATTGGCGGACAGACCGATAGACCCTTGCCGTGCGCCTCCATCAAGCCCAAAGCAACACGAGAGCTCCAAGTGGCATTTACCTGGGACACCATTGGGGCCTTAATTATCTTCCGTGCTTGAAATCAACCGTGTTCATATGTCCTCAAAACCACCACTACATAAGTAAAAGCAAGGCGGTTTTGGGGGGTGTTCATGCAATTTATAGGTGAACCACCAAATACCTCATTATAAGGAGTTCCCGCTATAAGGAGTTAACCTGTACATGTTGTAGGCCAAGACGGCCGTCGTGGCAGCTTTCCTCTAGGGCGGCTGAAGTTCAGACTGTCCAACAGGCCTAGTGGCCCCAGCCATGCTCATGGAGATGTCCCGCAGCAACGCCACCTCAACACTAAACATCGCAGGGCATTCAAAACAGGTCCGCGGAGGCTATTGTGGGAAAGGGTGTCATATTCGGCGTGGAGGGGAAGGGGAAGGGGGGTGAGACCTTCAGCATGGACTTTGCAGGACTTCTGTGATGATGCTCGATCATTTTCAGAGGAACCACGTGCGGAATCCTTGGCGGCCCCTTCATTGGATAGATACCTCAGGGACCCTCCACTCCTAAAGATTAACGAAAGGCATTGTAGCAGGGTTGTGGACTCTCTTGTTTTTAAACGCGCCTTGCCAAAAGGGGCCTAACTTAGGCTATCTAACACGAACGGGCCCTTTCAACGCTCAAATCCTCTGACCCTCTCAGCTGTCGACTCTGACGCCTGTCAGCTGCTACCTTTTCAATAGCCCTTAGAATTTCCGGCACCCTCTAACCCTTTTTATTTCTGCAAGCCACCGAGCCCGTAAACCGTTGGCTCATTATTATGGGCTCGGGGATGCAACCAAACCCTCTGACCCGCTGAGCTCTATGACTTGAGAATGACTGGTCGCTGTGCTTCAAGAAATGATGCAAACGTGGTCCGGTGTCTGGTCCGGTGTCGGGTGAGCACAAGGATTTGTTGTATCAGCACGGGGCTTTCGGCAAGACATGCAGCCGAAAACCGCGTGCCGTCTGCGACGGGTGAAACTCTCGAGAGTATGCTCGGGGTGAACAGCGTCTACCCTTGCCCACCTCAACGCAAAAATGCAAGTCGGGGCGCAGGCCTTGGAATGCTCACGGAGAGGGGATTCATGGGGATTCTATACCATGGGCCCTGTGGGCGAGGCACCCGCTCGGGGTGGCGTCGCCGCACGCAGGGCGTGGCCTTTGCGGACGAACTCGTGGCACCGCCCCTCGAGCTCTTTGAACCTTTGCGGTTCGCTGTCAGAACGAAGGGCAAAGGACTCTCTGGAGTTGAACCATGCCTATGCTCATCTTTGAGCAGATAAGTGGGAGTGTTGAGTCGATTGTTAGCCACGATAAAGGACATGTCGAAGGATAAGCCGAGGAACTGGTCCGCATCAGAGAGGCGCGCCACAATGCGCCGTGGAACCGGCTCCGCCGCTTTGCCACTCCACCATTTCCTCCAGAGTGTTTGGGATATTAACGGGGCTGAAGGGCCCGGGCCAGGGGTGCTACACGGTGCTGTCCAGACTGATCACATCTCATCACGAAGCATGGAAGCATGGGAAGCTGCATTTCCAAGGATGTCCTCAAGCTCGCAGCCGCTGAAGGCTTCTCATTCGCCGGCGACCCTTCCGGCGGCGTCGCCTCTGGCTCAGCCAACTCCAAGATCAGCTCCTTCCCACGCCGCTGAAAGACACACTTTGTTGCCATGGGCGCGTACACCGACGCCTGAATGTCTGATTCCACCAATTCTGGCCCATCCTTGCAAGTCGGGGTAGGAACCTTGGCCTCCGTGTAGAAGAGGTGCAAGTAGCCATGGATGGTCAGCACAAGCGTCGCTCCTTCCCTCCATCCCCCACCCCCCAGGCCGAAGATTCCACCAGGAGCCACCATGGCAGCTGGAACCCGCTGCAACACAGCCCCTCCAGCGCTCGGAATTCCGGGCACCTCGGGCAGGCTTGCCTGGGGCACCTCTGCCAGCAGGATGAGGCAATCCTCCCCAGGCAGCGCCACACCGGCGTTCGCAGCACACGCCCGGTATGCCTCCGCGAAGGCTTTCCAGTAAGCGGCCTCGGCTTCGTCTTGTAGATGTAGAATGTATGCATGTTATTCTTGTGTCAGATGTGCCACGACATGTATACCCGCCTTTCAACACATCTTGACAAGAGGAGGGCTTCTCTGCACCCATCAGGCAGCCTGTGACATCGCCAACTCATTAGGCTAGGCAAATAACGACACGAGTCTGGCTGCAGACGCCTGCGTTCTGCAGGGTTTATGCCTCTGCGACTTCTTACGGGCCCCAGTCCCTATTCCTCCCACATGGCCCCTTGTTGCCACAAGGCTACGCGCTCTGCTTCCAGGTCATGCAAAGTCGAAGCCGAACGTACAAGTAAGTCTTCTGCAGCCGCTTGGTCAGAAAGATGTTTGAGGGCCTGTTCGCGGTAGCGCACCTCGCTCAACCAGGAATCCGGCGGTGCCTTTTCCTGAGAGATGGCTCGAGTCGTCTCTTCCACACGCTGATGGTGACTATTCCATGCAGCTTCCGCCGCAGCATGCGCCTGATCCCATACTCGCACAGCATTTACCACTTGGCTTTGCAAATGGTCCGCCAGCGCCTCCTGGCGTTGCTTGAGCTCAGCACCTCCCGAGGGAATTGCCGCCCACTGTGCTGCTCGAGCTTTGAGGCTGGCCACATTCGTGCGCTCTGCACTCAGGAGCCAGGCAGCAGCTCGACCATCGATGGCTTCCAACCGCACAGGCCTCCATCGACTCTCCATGTCATTCAGAGCCTGAGCTGTGGTAGTTGCGGCGACCTCAAACACCTTCTTCTGCGTCTCCATGACACCCAGCCAGGCCTGCAAGGAAGTGCTGCCGCTTTGAATCTGCAGCTGCTGTCGGCACAACTCGTCTTCAGCCCACTTGCGACGCACCGCATGGGCCCTGCAACGCGCCGCCTCCCACTCTGACAGGAAAAGGCAGCTGTCACTCTCCATTGCGAACACAGCTGTGTGTGTGTGTCTATATATATATATATATATAAGGGGAAATATGCCAGCAAGGGGATGCTCGTGAAACTACGGTGGATGTGACATTGGGTACGATCGTCATTGTGCCTCGCGTTGCTGCTATCGTGCGTCTGCACAGACTGGACCAAGCTTTCCCACCGCAAACTGAAAGCTTGAAGGTTTTGCATGCCGTGAACGAGATCAGCTTTCACAAGACTTAGCTCCACAACGGACATGAGAAAATTCCAAGTCCACCACCTGCTACCGGGTGGTACCTGTTGAAGCTCTGTAGTTGCTTGTAGGGCAGACACAGGACGCTCTGGGTCCACGGCCAGTCCTCCTCTGTCCTTGCTCACCAGAAAAACAGGTGCTCACCAAAGTGCACACCAAAAAACAACAAACAACCAACGAACCGGCAAGCACGACAAGCGGGTGGCGAACGAGCCCTTCATCGGTGCTGCTGGAATGTGGTTACAATATCCTGCAACGGATGGGTCAAGGAAGATAAGCAAGACTGTGCCCTCGTTGCGCCCAAAAACCGTGCGCCTAGAGTCACAGTCGAGAGCCAAGCTCCTTGAGCCAGAGCCACCCTCTAAGACACCCGAAGCCCCCAATCCGCACCGAGCCCTGCGCCCTCTTCAGCCGCTGGCGCGCGCGTGGCCAGGATGCGGGGGAGGGGCTGCCAACCTGGAGTGTCTGTGTGCTAAGCCAGGCAGGGCTCCCAAGCAAAAGCGGGGCATCTCTGGAATTGCGGGCTTCGGTTTCAGCGCTTCGCCTCATGCTGGGCGCGAGTCCTGCTGAAGGGGGCCTACTGAAGCACAATCGTTGCCATCGCTGTCATGGCCACTTCCGTCCCACTGAAATTGCCCAGCACTACCCAGAAGCTTGCCGCATCACCAGTGGTCACAAGAAGCCTGCAAATACTGTACTCCACAAGAGCCCTTAAGCCTTAAACTCCTGACCACACTAGCGACCCCGAGTGAAAACCCTGGGCGGCACCCATCGCTGCAGCTCCAATGGCTCGATGTCGGAAAAGTCTCCAGCCTCGGTTTCCAGGTGCCTCGTTCTCGCGCACCGCTGCTCCCTGCGGTTTCTGAGGAGGGCACATCCCTTGGATCCCAACGCTTGTAGCGGCGCGGCCTTGGCTCCAAGGATTCCCATTGTCACCGGAGACACCCAAATGCAGAGCGAGGTCTCAAAGTAATATTCAGCAATATTCCCCATCGGCATCCATGTCATCATGATCCCTAACTGGCGCCCTACCTCCCAGTTGCCCTGTTTTTTGTACCCTCCAGGCATCATATAGTTGACCAGCGCGTCTACGGCATGCTCTATTGCCCCAGGATTGAAGCGAACCCCCCCCCCCCCCCCTGCGTATCAAGGTTAACCTGTTGATGCCTTGGGGGCATAGTCACGTGCCCTGAAGGTCGAATAGGCATGCCGCCCCTTCCTGTGCCAAGAGAGATATCAGGAAAATCAAACTGAGAGCGTCTGTTCCTGAACTCTCTTCTAGCAGCGCCTCTGCCAGATGCACCAGGAGGTGTCTAGACAAAGCTAGCATCACACTCAGTCAGGCAGACTGGAACACAGTTACATGGAATGTCGTAGGTCTAGTCTAGACCTCGCAAATGGTGGGTCTGAGTTCCGCTAAGATGCTGTTCCGTCCCATGCTGCCCGAAATGGTCTTTGTGCATGCGGTCCTGCCCTGCGCTAAGTACAGAAAGGCCAAGGGTAGTGGGCTTTGCCACACAATTCCGTGGGTGGCTTGTTTTGGTGATGAAGCTGCCACATGCCTCCATCAGTCTACATCTCATATATATATATATATATATATATATATATATATATATATATATATATATATATATATATATATATATATGTATATATATGGATATATATATATATATATATATGTGCACACACACACACACACACACACACACACATATATATATATATATATATATATATAGTCTGCTGGATACTGCGCCTCACGACAAGCCACACGACAACAGGCTCGGAGCCCTCCAACCCCTCGCTGCGACAGCAGCGAAGAAGTTTGGAACTGGAAGAATTTGTCATGAAACGGAGTGCACGCAGCCTCACCTTGAAGTTTGGGGCGGAGGTCGAGGGGATTTATAGGCTGGGATCGGCTTGAGGTTCTAAGGTAGAGGGCTGGGAAGTCGTGGAGGGGGCGTGCAGTCGGGCGACTGACCAATGAAGCTAGCGGACTAGCTGGCGCCCATGCAGACTCGTTCATGAGCAGAAGGTGTACAGAACTCAGTGCGGGGACGCTACTTCAAGGATTCAAGATGGAGGCCTCTCAATCGACAGCCAGGTCTTCAACGCAGAAATACGTAGAACAAGACGAAACCCTGAACACAGCTGAACATGGATAGCTTTGCTTTTCGGGTGTGAAGCTTGGGATACAGGGACCTTGGGGTTTCTTGATGGAGAGGCCTCCTCACGCATGGGCGCACACCAGGAGAAAGGCAAACAAAGCTCGGTATACTACGTCAAAGAAGCCTAGGGCCTAGGGCATGGAATTTCGACGTGCGCCAACACCAAAGTAAAAAAAAACTCTCAGCCATGCCGGAACTGGAAACCTACAAACCCTCAGACGCAGATTCGTCTGTAGGATGAGAGCGTTGCATCACACTTGCGTGATGCCTTCGGCACTGGCTGTATGCCTCACCGGGCCTCACCGTGGCCGCCATCTTAGGTGCCAGGAACTCCAGGGTAATGATCCAGAGAGCCGCATGTGCTTTGCACGCTTGCAATAGAGGTACCAATGTAGGTGGCGGCCGACACCAGGTCAATGATGGAAGCTGCACACAAGCGTTCCGACATAGCCCTGGTGTAGTCGAGTGCACCCGGGCAATTGATGACACTGAGGGTGATCATGCTCGAGGCAATTCCTGCGGAAGCGATGGCTCCCGTGACGTCAATGGTGCACTTCGTCTTGCCTTGGTGCCCGTTCACCTCGAAGTTGTGAGCACCGCAGTCCTTGGTGGACAAGGCAATCAAGGTGCCCATCTGCGCAAAGCGTGCGACGGCTTTGCTTAGATCGAATCCGCACTGCACCTTTTTCCACGTCCTCTCTGTGTCCTTCTTGTGGAGGTCGTGGTACGTCTCGTAGTCAAGCCCCAGCCTGTCGGCAGCCTCCTTAGCCTTCTCGTCGACAAACTCCTTGTTGTCATCACTAGCGGCTTCCGCGACATGTGACAGGGCGCTCATCGCACCTTCCTGGATTGAGCCGACCTCCTCTCTGGCATGAGCTTCAGCCGACGCAGCAGGGTCTGCCGGAAGCGTCGCAAGATCTGCCGTCACCTCAGCCAGGCGACGGAACCCACGGCCGACGGAGGATTCAGACCGCATCCGGTCATTCACCCTGATTCGCGCCATTTTCGTCTCTCGAATCTCTTTATTGACTTTGTCAAGGACGCTCTGAGAAACGCCACTGAATGCCCTTACGCCTTCTAGCTTGGTGTTCGTAGTGATCTTTGGGAAGACCCCGTCGAGGCGCTCGGACCAGTACCCGTGCTTTGGTAGGCAGTTGGACTTCATGTTTGCTCCAGCTGCCGCCACTAAAGCCGCGTTGGCCAGGAACCCCGTGATGTCGATCGAACAGCCAGCTTGGACATTGAACGTTGGGCCGCAAACACTGACCATGTCTTCGATGTAGATGGCGATGTAGCCCCAAATTGCCAGGTTGAGAGAGACCATGGCTGCGCAGAAGTCCTGCTGGTTGGCATCCCAGGGGTAGGGGTTCTTGCAGGCTTGCGTGACGGTGCGGATGTTCGTGACGATCTGCCCGATACTGGAGATGATCTGGGCGGCGTCGATTCCACACAAGGCCCAAAGCATCTGCCGGACGACGTCGATCTTCCCCACATCGTCCACGTCCGCGTCCTGGAGCATCCTTTTCACCGGGCCCTTCGTGGCATTCTTGAAGACCTTCATGTTGTAGTCATACTTGAGATTGTCGGGGTCCTTGCCATCAATGTCGAGATACTTCACGTGCTCAAAGACACCACCATCCGGGTAGTGTGCCTGGATGGCTTTCAGCAGCTCCCCAAGATCGCGCTTGGTCGGCATCTCCACCACACCCGGATCCTCCATCCACCTGTGCGCGTCATCCATGTCCGCGTTCGGCATTGAGGCCATGACAGCTTCGGTCTTGGGCTCCGAGCGCAGAAAGAAGGCGACAGCCAAAGCACCGCAGGCAAAGGATAAAGTCAAGGCGCCCGAGGCCATGAAAACACGGCGCGGTCCGGTGCCAGCTTCAGGCGGCGGATTCTTTGCGTCGCACTCGCTCTCCATGGAACTCAGCAGTCCGCTGGCAACCTCGGGGTCCTTTGCTGATGCCATCGTTGCAAAGCTGTGAGAAGAAATTGGAAGGATGCGGGTGCTCTCAGCTGAGACCAAAATGGCTTGAGCCAATATGGTGAGGATTCAGGGGCTTGCGTTCAAGAAGTGCAACGCGAGGTCACAAGCGTGAAGAAGTCACGCTCGAAGTCCAGCGCTTACCAGAATGCAAAGTCAAACTAGTTCAGTGACTCAAGTACCCCGAAGCCGTAGTCTGAGACTTCGACGATCCTCCAGGGTTCTCTTCAAGCTCAAGTCGGCCACGATCCTAGGAGGAGTGCAGTGGGCTTAGCGGCCTTTACGATCTCTTGCGTTTGTCTGTCTGAGGGGTTCAAGGCATGGGAGTCTTTTGTGAAGGCGGTTCCAGGTTTAGAGCTCTGACATCTCGAGGGGTGAGGGGTCCAAAACGGATCAAAGAAAACGGTTTAAAAACCAAAAGAAAGAAACAAGGAGCATTCTGCCCGCCACTTGCAGAAAACAGGAGGGTAGCACCGGTAACTTTACCTTGAAAAAACATTGTTGTAACCTTTGCAGCATCCACTCCAAACTTAAATCTGCTTCCATTGCAAGCAGACTCGTCACCGCTCGGCTGCGCCAGATCCGCAATGATCACAAAGTTTCATTCTTGTTGTTGCGGGCAAGTAGCCTTATGCAGGGCTGGCCAAAAGAAACAATAGAAAATGACATCATACAGCCAAAAGCATGGGTCTTCGTGATTGTGCCCAAGCTTCCAGGCCAGCCCTCCGGCAGCTCTGGGGGGTCAAGGGCGTTTAAACCAAAGCTTTTGGGTTCTGAGGCTTCAAGGCATCAGGAGTATTGGGGTTTTGACGTTGTTTCCAAGGCTTCCAGGATTTTCGAAAATTATGTTTCTGGGGTTGGGGGTCGCACGGCTGGAGCTAACGTTCCGGCTGCAGCCTTCAGGGCTTGGGGGGGGCTTGGGGCGGTGTCTCGAGGTTGGGCACTGTGGGGCTGGAGCTGACGCTCCGGCTGCAGGAGTGAAACTAATTAAGCTTTGATCGAACCAATTGACTTGGCTCTCAAACAGATTGAGTAATTTGCGGTGGCAATTTGAGGTCAATTTGAGGCCAATTTGAGGTCAACTTGAAGTCAAACTTAGGCAATTTGAAGTCAATTTGAGCTCATTTTGAGCCCAATTAAACAAAACTTATTTAGAGCATAGCGGTCAGTAGCCCAAGCATTGAGGACTTGAAGCGATAGGTAGATCAGCTTCTCTGTCGGACGAGCTGTCAATGCTCTTCTTCTTGGACATAGAGAGACATGCTGCTTGGAATTTGAGCCATCTGCTGTTCTGGACACAGAGAGTCTAAGTCAACTGCTTATCACAAACTCCTACCCCTGGCCAGCTGGTGGATTCCCTTGATAGGCATTTCGGCCCGAAGTCCTTATCTGTAGAGTTTGCTGCCAGGGTGGCAGATCCATTCATTGACTTAAGATGGGTCACCCAAAGTACTGATGTACAGAATACCTCTTCACCTAGCAGCCTTGATAGGTATTTTGGCTGGAAATGCTTATCTGTGAGGTTGGGTGCGTAGCCTCAGCCCAGATAGGTGGTATCCCTGCACTACATAGATTGCTTTTAAACATGATTCAGGGATCTGTGTTCTAGCTCCCACCCCAAGACCCTAAATAAGGACTTTGGCCCAAAATGCCTATCCAAATTGATGGCGCTCCAGCCATGTGGCAGATCGGCTGCAAACTCTACAGGCAAATATTTCGGGCCGAAATGCCTGTCAAGGGAGTTCACCAGCTGGCCAGGGCTAGGAGTTGGTGATCAGCAGAGTCTGTGTCCAGAACAGCAGGGGCTCAATTCCAGGCAGCATGTCTCTCTATATCCAAGAAGAAGATGTTTTGTTTCATTGGGCTCAAAATGAGCTCAAATTCACTTCAAATTGACCTCAAATTGGCCTCAAATTTGACCTCAAATTGGCCTCAAATTGACCTCAGTCAGATTGGCTTCAAATTGACTCCTCACATTATTCAATTTGTCTGAGAGCCAATTCAATTGGTTCAATCAAGTCGTAATTAAAATAAGTCACTCCTGCAGCCGGAGCGTTAGCTCCAACCACACAATGCCCATGATGCCTTGAAGCATCAGGAACCCAAAAACTTTGGTTTAAACGCCCTTGACCCCCTAGAGCTGCCGAGGGGGTGGCGTGGAAGTTTGGGCACAATCACAAAGATCCAGAAACGCTGCAGGTAGGGGACTTAAAATGCAAACAATGTCAGCTATATTTTGTTGTGTTCAAACCCTTCTTTTGGTCAAACCTGTGAAATCATGTAAAATAATAGCTATGTTTTGTCATTTCTAAACCTTCGAAAAGGAAGCCTTTGGCCAACCCTGTTATGCGATTCATGAGCCACGGCTTGAGTTTCCACATGGTTTCTTTCAAAGACGGCGCACGGAGCATTTCGTAGTGCTTTCATGTCGGCATTTAAACATGCTTCTAATAGACAGCCCAGCCCTATCCCCAAAGTGAATGGATGCGGCATACAGCAGCTCCGGACTCCCTCCGGAAAAGATCGGGGATGTTCACGGCGGCCAAGAGACTTTGGGGTGCACCGGGACCCTCTGGCTAAGTGTCCGGCAATTCTGCCAACGATGCGGGATAGCAGAAGCTCAATGTTCTCCACGCCTGCAGCATGGAGCTTGGAGCAGCTTGGAGTGTTGTGTGGGTTCAGCCGGCATATGGGCCGCAAACTGGCCAAGGCACGTCCCAGATATGGGATTGCCAAGCAGCCAAGCATGTATCCGCCATCGAGGCATCATCTACGCTCAGACTTCAAATCCCAGGCTGAAGATTTCCAGCTGAGGTCGGCACTCACTTCGTCCACATCGAGCTTCCCCATGTTGGCCTATGCGATGACCAAGATCTTACTGTAAGATTGGCTGCTTTCTCCGCAGATCTGAGCAAGGGTCTGTCTTTCCTGGCAAGATAGGAACCTCTGAATCCTTAAGCTCTAAGGGCAAAGGCCGGCCTACAGGCCCCAAGTCTTGCTCCCCATTCCAGTCTGGGAGACTGGCTTGCAGCGCATCCGTTGGCAGCTCGAGCACGCTGACGTATCCTTGGTCGCCTCAGCAGCTCAGGACTGCATTCCGGCATTCGTGTTCATTCAGGGTCTAGGGTTTAGGGTTTGGGGTTTGGGGTTTGGGGTTTAGGGTTTAGGGTTTAGGGTTTATTCGTGTTCAGAGCAAACAGTTTCAAGGGTTTGAACCTGCTTTGGGCACTTTGAAGCCAACAGGCCTGGATGCCTGTTGCAAGACATCCGCAGCCTGGGGCTTTAGAAGGGGATGTTCAGATTCGGAACCTCCTCAGGCACAACTCCGCACGCCTTTTTTTGCAGCGAAGGGCTGGAAAATTGCTACAGCCCACTCAGCACTTCAGAGGAACCGTCTCGTGGAAGGCCTCGAAATCAACCTGAGCCCAACAGGCTTTGGTGGCACTTTGTGGCACCCTGTGCAGGACTCTTCGAATCATTCGTGAAAAAAGATTCTGTTAGTTATGGCCCAGGATACCCGAATCCCTTCAACGGGACCCCCCAAAAGCACACCCCCCCTATCTTCGGAAACCCCCCCCCCCCCCCCACCTGGTGAGCTCCTTCAAGTATGCGGACGCAGGGAGCAAAGCGGCTCTTGTAGCGAAGGTTCTCCTTGGAGTAGGAGTGGCGGGCTTCCAGGCTGTTCCCGGTGATCGGACAGCTTCCGCTCACAACGACCAGTATCTCCAGGTAGTCCAGGCAGGCCATGTCATGCTGGAAGTCGTCGATTCCCCTCAGTCTTCCAAAAGGCGCGGAGTCGTAAGTTGTTTGTTGGTTTGTTTGTTTGGCTGGTTGGTTGGTTGGTTATTGTTGTTGTGTTCTTTTCTTTTCCGGGGGCGGGGGATGGGGGGGATGGGGGTGGGAGGGTGGGGGATTTTCGTCGCTTTTGGTTTGGTGCTTGGCGCAGTGTGCTGCGTGCCCGGGTAGCTCTCGCCTCGAGGTGTCATGTGCATTCCAACTCGCGCGTGAGTGGTGGCCCTATCGGTGCTCCGCATGTCCGTATCACTACTTCCGCAAAATTCAAGTAGCTAGCTCCTATATATGTTCCTACGAAAACTTCGAGTTTTGCAGATACTATATTGAGAAATCTCTCCACGCAGTTCCGCAAAACTTGAATTTGACGACCTCCATTCCTCTCTTTCTTCAACAAGAAAGCATCTGTTTTCCTACTGTTCATCGTAACAAGTCTTGATGTACTCTATACTCAAGAAACTGCGCACCTATATTTCCCTGGGGTCACATCGAAATTTCTCTAGTTCTGAAGTATACAACGAGAACATCCTGCACGCTTGTAGTTTTGATGCGTATGTGTGTATATATATATATACATGCATACATATAGCGTGCTCAGAAAATTTGATTTATGGTTTCTGTTATGTATCCGGCATTCGATACAAGGCGTGAATTGGCAACTGTTAAACATGTTTGGCGTTGACTTGACAGACGAAATGCCAAAGATTAGCAAGTTAGTGGAGAGAATAATGCATAGCAAATAGTACATATTCATTATGCATATCGACTGTTGCAGAAGACTGTATAGATTAAGGTGTACTATATTTGGGGCAGTTGATAATCAAGAAAACTTCTCTGAATATTGGATAACCTATATGAAATAGTTTACTCAGCGCTGTCTCCAACATCTGAGCAACTGAGCACAATTCATACGCTAAGGTCGGCTTATTATTACGGCAACATTCCGGTGCGGTTGCCTGCCTGAGCTTCTCGGGCCTTCTTATTCACATGATGCGTGCCACTTTGCCGAAATCTTAACCACCCACTTGTCGGGTGGGGAACAACCTCTCACAAAGAAGTATTTCCTTTAAAGCACTGAACATCTGGGCCATTGTAAACCCACAACCTTTATTGGAGCAGGCTGCATCAACTTTGTGGGAGCAAGTGCCAGCGGGGATACCGAGTCAACCCGATGAACGACCTTTGTGGGCAGCGTCAGGAAAAGCTTTCCATCCGCAATGGAGATGTTTGGCGTTTCCAGAACCATGGGACGCACGTCCACGTCCTCGGCTTGCTGCAATCGGTTTGACCGGCACGGCGCAACCAAACTTTTTCAACCCGAAGCTAGCCTCTTGGCCTGAAAGCCTCCAAGCCTCGAAGCGCCAAGGGGGTTAGGAACCATTCTGGCGAAGACCCAGTCCAGATAGCTGGGCATGTAACTTTGGAAGCCCAGCACGGCAAAAAAAGTGCTGCCAGCGCAGACCCCAAACAGTGTTAAGACCGCGAGCAAGACCAAGAGCATTCCGCGTACATGAGGATCAAATTGGGCGACTTGAGATCAATTGGTGTGAAATAGGTTGGGCAGACCCTTTTTGCTTGTGCATATCCGCCGCCATGTGATCCTATTAAAAAGACACACACACACACACACACACCTTGTGTAAGGAGCCTGTTTCTAGGAAAAGATGTTCCATGAAAGCTTTTCTTGCGGAGAGGCCCCCAATCTTGTTCTTTTGGTTGAGAGGTGTTGGACTATGAATTCCAATGCTCCCGCAACGGGACAAGTTCGGACATCCGGGCTTTGGCACATTCGCCGTTTCTGACGTCTTTAAAGGACTGCGAAGTTTGGGAGCATGACCTGTGTGCACGGGGCCTATTCTTAGAACCCCTAGTAGCTGAAGCTACCTGAGGAACAAACTCAAACTCACCCCAAACCCTCTTCCCAAGCGATTTTGACCGATGAGACTCCACCAGTTCTGTGGGCTCTGGCAGGTCTTGGTGCCAGACGGCATACATGCGCACAATGGGCTCAATGATCGGCCTCCGCGCGACCTCTCGCTGCACAGCTTCGGGACTCTCTGCGCTTCGGTTTCGGGATTTCTCAACGTAATCTTGCCCCGCCCTCTCTAGTTCTGTCTCCTTGATTCTTTAGAGTGTATTGAACTTGCACCTCTATATCCCTACTGCTAGTTTTCTCCCCCTTTCGCTCGCTCGCTCGCTCTCTCTCTCTCTCTCTCTCTCTCTCTTGCTTGCTTGCTGCACTCTCTCTTTCTTTCTTTCTTTCTTTCTTTCTTTCTTTCTTTCTTTCTTTCTTTCTTTCTTTCTTTCTTTGGGGCATGGGGCAAGCCCCGCGCCAAGGCACGCCCCGCTCTCGCTCCACTCCGTTTACACCCCTCTCTCTCTCCCTCTAGTCCTCTTCTTCCTCTTCTTCCTCTTCTTCCTCTTCTTCCTCTTCTTCCTCTTCTTCCTCTTCTTGCTCTTCTTGCTCTTCTTCCTCCTCTTCCTCCTCTTCCTCCTCCTCTTCCTCTTCCTCTTCCTCTTCCTCTTCCTCTTCCTCTTCCTCTTCCTCTTCTTCTTCTTCCTCTTCCTCTTCCTCTTCTTCCTCTTCCTCCTCCTCTTCTTCTTCTTCTTCTTCTTCTTCTTCTTCTTCTTCTTCTTCTTCTTCTTCTTCTTCTTCTTCTTCTTCTTCTTCTTCTTCTTCTGCGCGCTTTGAGGTCCCCCAAATGGAGGGGACCTGGCCTCGACTCACTCTCTCTCTCTCTCTCTCTCTGAATCTCGCTCGCTCGCTCGCACTCTCACTCTCGCTCGCTCTCTCTTTCAGGTCGATGGCTGGGTCATCCCCTTGTCGTCTCACTCGAATTCCCTCATGCCACAAGCTCCCCATGACGCTGATTCCCTGATTCTGGGCTCAACACAAGACGAGAGCGGCAGCCACAAACATTCCTTGAACACGGTTGCATGTCTTGTTATTGACTGCCGTTGCGGTATGGAATCTTCGGCTTGTCGAAACACAAGGCTGATGTTCTGCGTGTGCTCTTGGCTTCCAATAGCCGCAGGCCTCGCAAATTCGCAGTGAGAGTTTGACGCAGCCATCTTCCTCGAATACCACCGCGGTATCACTGAAAATGATGCTGGATGCCCGAGTGAAGGCTGTTGACAGGCGCGTGTACATAAGATTGAGGAACACTGTGTCCATCAACAGTCCCAGCAGAGACTGCACCACCAGGAGTGGGATGACAGCACGACAATCGTCAAAGAACCTTGGTTGCCAGAAACCGCCAACAACACCTCTACAACAGGAACGCACCTATATGCTAAAATTGCTGAACACACCCTTGTACTTCTCATATCTTCTCATTGCAACTCAGCCGGCGGGTCGGCCACTCCATAGCCGATCGTGGTCATCGTCTCCAGTGAGAGCAGAAAGGCGCGCCGGAAGGTGAGCTCCTTTGCCTCGCATCCCTCCGCGGCGATCTGCCACCAGAAGGTAAACACCACCCATCCGAGGAAGTAGATCACCATGTAGACCAGGACCAAGTAGCGGAAGGGCATGTTCACAAAGTAGTGGTAGAGGTCGCCGCGGACAAACTCCTGAAAAACACGAGCTTTTGGGCTTCGAGGCTCAAGCCTGCGATTCGCAACTCAAAGAAACCGGGCCATACGACACAGGGCTTCGAGGATTATAACTGTTTATGGCTGCAGCTCAAGGCTTGCCCGTGATGTTGCAGGGTCGGCCTCGAAGCGGCCAATGCCCTCATAGCGCACGTGGAAGCAGCCCCGCGTCCGCGAGCTCGGCAAACCCCTTCGCAATAAACCTTGAACGTCATACTGCCAGACTGTTCGCTGTTAAGGGTGGAGGTTGGGATGCTCCCCCTTATCCGAACAGCCCTTACGAGGGATTATGATTGGGGGGGGGGGGGGGGGGGGCGGGGGTTACTATGATTCCTGGTAAGTACTGTCACCTTAAGGGGGAACATCCCAAGGTAAAGTTACATGCTCGGGCATCGGCAACTCCCACCCTCTGAACATGCCCAGGACCAGCCGAATTCTTCCGCATGCCGCAAGCCCTTTAAACTTCAAACCCTTCGGACTTTTCGGCTTGGAGATGCTTGGGGCGAAAGGGGGACCAGATGCAATGTAATCGGGAGGCGCCCAATGTCAATCTAGAACCCCCGGCCATTGCTTTGCTGCTTGGCACCGCATCCCAAAACCGCACAAACCGCACAAAACCGCCATCCATTCCGGAACTCCCCAGGAAGCCTCAGAAGACCTGTTCTCCCCAATCCCTGCGACCCCCTCGGCTCCACGCCTCTGTTGCCAATTACATCCACTGACAGTCATCACTCAGCCATGAGAGGGATATTGTTAACCAAAAAACGCTTGGGATCGGTTTGTGGGGAGCTTTTGTGGCCCCCCTTTTGTGGCCTTAAAGCCTTGGAGGGCGTGTCGCCAGGCCACGGGGCGAGCGCGGGGTCGCAGGGCAAAGGCCCGCGGTGTCAGAGCCGCTGTCTGAGCCCTCCATGCCCCCATGTGCTCCCGCGATCCAAGCCAAAAACCAAAAAAAACGGGTTCATGTACATGTCGTCTATCTCATCTCGTTCCCATGCTCTGCTGCAGTATGAAAGTCCGAAATCATAGCGTCCAAGTCTTGAGAGGCGCGTTCTGCAAATACAACTTGCTGCTGTTCTGACACATGTTGTCTGTGAAGCTGGTGACGGCGCAGGGTACAACTGTTTCGATGTGATTCCCTACCCTGCTCAAGCCTTGGCATTCGAACCTCCTGGTTTCTGGGGCTTCTTTGCCACCTGCCAAAAGCAGTCCAGGCACAGAGTTTGGCAACACCCTAAACCCGAAACCTTGCCAACTCGCCCGGAGTTGGTAAACCCTAAACCCTCGACCCTGAACCCTGAACCCTGAACCCTAAACCCTAAACCCTGAACCCTGAACCCTAAACCATCCTAAACCCTAAACCACTTAGGGCTGATTGAGACAATAGAAGTATGCTTTTGTGCTTCGTCAGCGGGGAGTCCAGAGTCCCAAGGGGGCGCCAGTCCCTAAGCGTAAGAGTTCTCCAGGCATACTAAATACGAACCCTCCCTGTGAACTCTCCACGGCATCTGAGGCAAAGCATGGCTGCTATAACTTTTTCAGGGCATATGAGACTCAACCTCTCGGACACTCTGCAGAGAAGTATCTCTGGGCGGGTTTTGGGGTCTAGGGTTTTGGGCCTAGGATGCTTTAGCGTTTCGGTTTTAGGGCTTCGGGCATCCTAGAAATGCAGGTTGCGCTGGGATGCCCAAAGTTCGGGGACCATGTGTTCGTCCTACACCCCAAAATTCAAAGCCCTAACCACCCCAAAGCAAATTCAGCTCCAGTGAAAGGACCAAAAGACCAAGGACTTGATCGAGGGCCAGGCCGCTATTACTGGCAGGAGCTTTCTGACCTGGCCTTGGAAAGTGGCTCTTCCGGGTCATGCCTTTTACGCTTGAAATACCCCTTAAGAAGCAGGTAACAGCTCCCTCGAAGCCAGTAGCATATGCAATGAACTCATCTTGGAACATCTCAAAACCTACGTAGCTGAGGGAGCTTTGGAAGGCCTCAGATGGAACACCAGTCCAACCCGCAAAGGGAATTTGGATGTGAATGACTCCCCGTCTCTCCATGCTGCCCCCGTGCTGATCTGTCCAAAAGATTCTCTGAAGAAACGACAAGGAACCGTCGTCCTGGAAAGAAGGGAAAAGCTAATCTCACGCCTGCACTGGACGTCGATGCACCACACTCTCTCAGCGCTGCTGAGCGTGAGCGGTCAGGGCTTTGTAAGCCAAAAAGCACCATATCAGAGTAGATGTGGAGACCCCCAAACCGCACACACCCTGAAGCTCCAGATCCTGAACCAAGCGATCTCTGAGCCCTGCCCTACCCTTCCTTTCTGAGGGCAAGGCGCATCGACGCCGGTGTCTGCAGAGTCGTCGTGCCTTTGTGATGAGTGCGGGACCCCTCGATTACACCTGCCGTATGTACTGAGCATCCCCAAAACAGAGTTTGGCTCACAAGTGGGTTCAAGGGACTTGGGGTTTAAGGTCTCGGCCTTGGATGGCACTTACCAGCAGTTGAGATTCATTAAGGCGTTGAGGCCCCTGGGCCTCGAGCATGTGGTTGGGGTAAGCAGATTGTCCTCCGCTCGATCGCATGCTTTTGCTCTCCTTCAGTGTCTCCAGCTTCTTAGTTCTCCCGGGCACGATTTTTCCAAACCCAAAAAAACAATTAGCTTCTGCCTCTGGATGCTGCAAGGGTTGTGTCTGCTGACAGCCTGAGCATAGCTGACAAGGAGCCGGAGGCTGAAGAGCCAAAACAGCCCGAACATCCGATCACGATGGATCACGTAGTCACATAGATGCTGCCTCGCCCCGGATCCGACTGCACTGCTCCGCACTCCGAGGAGGTGGCAGGTCCGACTCCTGTGCACTCCCCTCACCGTCGCCAGACCTGGGAAGCTTACTAGGGACTTCGCTCAAACGCTGCGCAGTAAGGGGCTTTGTTGCACATGGGGTTTTGACCCCACTGCCCCGCACCACAACTTCACAGACCTCTCTCAATCATGAAACCCTGCCCCCTGCCCCCTACAGGCTTCCGCGACAAATTTTAGATGCACTCTGCGCTCGCGACTCCAACCAGGCAAACTACGCATGGTCTCCGAGGCATAAACGTTGCGCTTAGAACTTCTTACCCTACATCATCCTAAGCCCGAAGCCCTCACAGTATCTGAAAGCCTTAGCTCCCTGAATCTCCCTTACAAGCTCTAGAATCTAGAATCGATTAAACAAGGGAGCAGAACAGGCTTGGAGGCCGGCATCACTTCACCCGGCCTTAGTGGGCTTTCGGACCGGGCTCTAATCTGCGCGGAGGAAGGTCACACGTCTGTCACAAGCTCTCAAAACTCAACCTGGGGTCAACCCTAAGCTGGCCTGAGTGCGATATAGCAAAACCCTCCAAGCCCATGAAGCTCTTCAACACATTTTTCTGTTCGATGCCCATGGTGGCGCATCATTGGCAAGCCCGGAATCTTGCGTTTCTCCGCAAGCAGGAATCGCCGTGAAAATCCCATTTGGGAGTTTCACGGCTGTGCGCGATGCAAGATGGCTTCTAGATGTGAGGTTTGTTGCTCCAGGGATGGGCACTGGCTCTGAAGTTTCATGGCTCGCGGCCCTTTCAGAGGTTCCCTCTCGGCCGGTAGAGAGAATCATCGTCGAAGCAGGCCTGTCCCAAAATGCCGTGTCATGGGCGCGGGGGCGCAACCGAGACCAAGAAACACAAGCCGGGAACCTGTAACAGACAGGCACAAAACTCACTAAACTGTAGCAGAAAACCCGGAATGGAATTGGTGAGGGCACAGACTCTTTCAACACTTCCCTGCAGAATTCCTGAAGGTCAAGGACTCTCTACGTCAACTTTGTGTCATGCATCAGTTCTGTTTAATGTTGCCCACACTGGGGTTTGGGCTTCCGACCCACGTTATTCAGGGTCCGGTTGAAGAAATAACCTGGGGCGATACCCTTAACTTTTTAATCATTGAGTCTGCCCCAACCCGCTAGACCCCTCTTGCTACACACACACACAACCAACAGCTTCTTGGCCTTTTTCAAAGCGCGAAGCGTCACTTATGCCGTGAAAGACAGGCTTGAGGACAACATACCATGAGCATGCCGTGATGCGGGCAGGATCGGCATCTGTTGGCTTTAGGCTTTAGACTTTTCAGGGGAGACATGAAGGGGAGGAGAGGGCCTCCACGCCGAAGGCATTGAGGGCCCTGCCGAGCGAGACCCGCGGCTTCCGAGCAGCGCTTGGTTCCGTGGAACTCCTTGGCCCAGCTGGCCATCAGTGTCATTGGACTCTCATGCAAGCCCGAACAAAATCAGAGTGTTCGGGTGCTTTAGATATGGGTGGGGGCTCTTTTGTTGCTGCCTTTGTTGGGTTTGTGGCGGCGGGTGGATCATTGATGGACCGGTATTCTCGGAAGCGTTTTGCACCGCTCAGAGGGCCAGGAGACTACGACCGGCCAGGGTGGTCCCCAGAGAAAGGGAGCAAAAAAGGCAAAATATGCCCTCCGTAGGACTACGCACTTTATGAACATGCTGAACCGCTGCTGGCTGCCCTAAGGCCCGCCAGAGTGAGAGGCACAGACTTGGCTCCGAAGAGCCCTGAAAGCTACAGAGTGAATGCTACTGCTCCACAATCTGCTTGTTGTTTCCTTGCATCTCTTTGTCCCTCTATGGCCATGGCCATGGTGCGGACCGAAGTCTTCTTCTTGCCAGCATGTCTGGACAGCAGCGGAAGAACCGAACCCCAAAGGCAGCTGGCACTTCTAAGAACCCGAGATGCCAATTTCAAGTGGTCAGGAGAGAGTCTGATTATGTGCCGGGGCACCCGGGCTTTTCCTCCGCGGGGCTGCGAAGGCAGGCGCGGAGCCGTGCCTTCTCTTGTAGGAGGGCATGGCATTTGGAGATCGTCTGCCTGGGCGTTGTTGCAGTGGCCACAAGGAAAATGGGGCAGCCAAAGTAGTGCAGGGTCTGGCATGCTTGAGCTGTAGACACCGGTGACTGATAGCCTCTCCTGATAAAGCATTGTTGCACAGCAACCTCTCAATGGAAGCTAGCAGCAACCCGGCTAGCCTCGGACAACGAGACAGAAGAACATGCTGGAAGAGACTTGCAAACGAAGGCCTCCTAGTGGACGTACAAACTGATGTTACTGCATCGGAACCCCACAAGCCCCAGCGAAAGCCCGGAAGCGAACCATCCGAGCCCTTCCCCCTCAAACATAATCCACCAGCCGAAGTTGCCGAAGCTTGGCCGCTGCAGCTGCTTGGCAAGCTGCCCGGTAGCGCTGTAGGGCCTGGGCGTGGAGCTGCTGCACCTGACAATCTCCATCTTGGAGTCTTCTGAGTTTTTTTTGTCATGGGTGATTTACTATTTCAAACAACGGGCTTCGGGAGGGTCTGAAGCAGACTGGAGCAAATTTCTATAAATTTTCTCAGCAGCGACCTGCAGAAGGAGTGACTTGGCCACTGATTTGGCCCCGCGCTGCCGCAGCGCCGTGCGCGCTGAGGGTGGCAGCGTGCCCGTCTGCAGCAGGGCCCGGCAAAGGGAAGCCAGGGCTTTCTCACCGAAGGGATCCGGGTCCTCCTGGAGGTGGCAGCGCGGTGAGTCGAAGGACGGTGACAAAGCTGTTGACGCGGTATGGGCTGACGCGGCCCCTTCAGGGCTCGCCTTTAAGGGCGGCACGGACAGGAGGTCTTGGATGAGGCGGGACACGCAGTGACTTTGCAACTGCTCCGGGTCCGAACGCAGCCCCGCCGCCTCCTGGAACTTGAGGTGGGTACGCCAGCGCGCGTTGTCGGCCAGAAGACGGCTGATCTCGGCCTCTTGCCAGAGCAGCATCTGCACCCAGTGGGTCTCCACTGCCTTCGGCTTCTCCAGATCCGCACGCCGCAAGCCCTCTTCCACTGCCGGAAGCCCTGAGTAGCCCAGCCACGTTGAAAGCGCCTGGTCCAAAGTGCGCACTGCATCAGGGTAATCCTCCCAAAAGCTCTCGTGCCGCATCTGCAGATCACCCACACGCGTCCACGCGGCGCGGAAGCTCTCCATACCCCGGGCTTGCTCTGCCAAGCTCTCCGCGAGGCTGGGCCCGCCAGGGCTCCCATGGCTCCCATCCAACGGAAGCGATCGAGGTGAGGGGCTCCGCTGGGCCCTCACCTCAGCCCTCCCATCCGCCCTCCCATCCGACCTCGCATCCACCCTCCGCGGTGTGCTCTGCGTGTGGCTCAGCTCCACCCGCCTCCGGTGCAGGTCTGCATACTGGCCGGAGCTCTTCACAGGCTCTGCAGAGGCTGGGTTGAACTCCAAGAGCTTCTTGTACGTGGCCGGTGAAAGCGCTGGTGGCGAGCCGAAGGCTTGCATGGGCCTTGACCGTAGCACTGGTGATAGCCCAGTAAGAGGTGCTGCCTCTGCACTCTGGCACTGGTCCGAAGATCGGAAGGCAGGGGAGGGACTGCCACTGATCCTTCGCAGATGTGGGGAGGCCGCGGCGGATGTGATTGCAGGAGTTGCAGGTGACTGAATCCCCTCCTTCGCTCTTCGGGCAGTTGGTGGTGAAGAGGCTGTTGGTGACAGGTTCAACTCAGACGGTTTCTGACGAAGGCGCAAGGCCTGCGTCGTGTGCGGGCTGCGGTCAGATTCCAAGCTGGTCCGACAATGGGCTTGCGACAGGGGCGGAGGCGCTCCCACTTCCTCGTTTCCATTGCGCTCCTTACAGCGGGGTGTTGCCATCTTTGGATCGCTGAGCTCAAGATTGCGGGTCGGCACGCTGGAGCTGTCTACGTGACTTGAAGGAGACGTGGGGCGAGGAAGGCGCGCCACGCTCGGCAGCTCCGCTGTCGCCGCTGTCGCCTGGGGTGTTTGGGGTGCTTGGGGCGTCTCAGGCAGCTGCGGCGACTTCGGTGACGTGGTGCCACTCTCAAGCAACGGCACCGTGCTTGTCAGTGATGCCGCCTCCGCCGTTAGCAAGGTAGCTGCCTCCTCGGGGACAGTAGCCTCGGATGCGGCCTCGGCTCGGCCATCTTGGCGTGCTTGGAGGAACTGCAGGGCCTTCGTCCAGGAGCTCAGGGCTTGCGACATGCCCGCAAGCTTTGCAACGAAAGCCTCGAAGCACAAGGCTTTCGCATCTGACGCATAATCATCTCACGTGTGACCCCATATGCCAAACGACATTAGTCTACCCTGCTTGGATGTCTGTAGCGTGGCTCTTTGATTCATTGGGTTTCACATTGGTTTCACTCGATGCTGAATCGGCTGCAAAGCGGGCACAGTCATGACAGGGTGCCGCATGCACCACGGTGGCCCTGCGGATCAGCCGGAAGACTGAGAGACGCTCGGCCTGTCTGGGCACGTGAGTGTGTACATCAGCGTTGCGCACATGAATACATATCTGAGCTCCCCGCTCACCTTCTGCACTCGCCGTTCCTCAAGAATCGAGGATGGCAGAGGTTCCGGTAGAGGTTTGGGCAGGTTTTGGGTTGTAAACTTTTGGGATTCCGCTGGTCTCCGTTGCACGGGGTGCCTGGCACTGTCTGGTATGCATTTTCCTTTCACGGGGCTCCGAAGATAAAGGCTCCCAAGGCTTCCAGCAAGAATCATAGCTTAGCTAGTTGTATTCATCATATGGTAATACATGGGTTTTCGAGGGTCACGGAGTCAAACGGGCACCTTTCTGAGGACATCGACCTACTTGTCGATACTGTCACAGTGCGCAGATGCCTGAAGCTACGAGGGCGACGGGACCTGAACATTGCAGCCTGCCTCGACCCGTCCGCAGCTGGGTGTGAAGCCCCCCACGCGGAGTGTTTGCCACTTTTCTAGCTTTCCCGCGGGAAGTTCAAGGTTTGCAGCGGCTACGGCGGTGCGACGCGGTGTCACGCTACTAATGGCCTGCACAGATCCCCTGGGGACAAAAAGGGACAAAGTTGATGCGTCTCGAGGGTCGTGTCCCGACAGTGCTTGTGCCCCGACTTGGCTATTCGAGACAACTTTCACTCTTAGCCAACAAAGTAACAGGGGCTCTCCACCAGCGATCGCCTGCAGGCGACCCCTCCATGCTTTGCTCTGTTGCACTCGTCTTTACCAATAACTTCGGTCCGGACTTCGAAGCACAGGGCCGTGTTCCGTGCAGCAGCACATGCAGCAAAACCTTCCACGTTTCTGATCTTCGCTCGTCTGTAAAGCCTTCAAGAATGTAAGTCTTAAGACAACCCATAAAGCCCTCCCAGGTTCATCCAAATCCCAATGCCTGAACACAGCCCAGCTGCAACCGGGTTACCTCCAGACTGTCCGCTCTCGGCAACTTGACTGCTTTGCGTGTCACCTGGCGCGTGTTCGGTTCCAGACTCCATGGGCTCATCACATGCGCGCGTGTGATGCCCCTTGCTGCGACTTTGCTGTGGAAACATGTGTGAGCCCTCGAATGAAGCTTGTGTGCCCTCGAATGAAGCTTGTGTGCAAAAAACCGAAGGCTCCACCAGCCTTCAAAGCGAAGACCCAAGCCAAGGCCCCCAAATGCCCCAAACCCTTCCGGAAAGCAGTCTCGCCGTCGCCATGGCCCACGTCCTCACCGTCCTGGCCGGGCTTTCAGGTTTTGGTGCTACGTTGGCCTTTAGCAGGTTTGAAGCCTAGTGCCCGAGCTCTGCCACGCAGGGCGCATGCTGAAAGGTGTCGATGGACCACGGATCGGTTCAAAGTTCACAAAGGGGTTCAATGGCATACGAGAGCGATCTTGATGTCTCAAGTCTTAAGCTGCTTGGAGCTCAAAACTGTCAGGAGCCGACGGCGAACAGAATCTACAAACTTCTTCGAAGAGAACAGACACAGCCGAAAAGCACACAATAGCGAATCAGAATCAGCAACCTTAAATCCTGGCAGGCCCCTTAGCGCAATTGCCCCCGAAGCCCTTCAACAAGGATGCTGGTGGTTGAACAGTGCTTGAAGGTGCTGGACAGCCTGTGTGCCATCATCTCCGGCTGGAAAGCCATCCGGGAAAGGGTGGCGGCCACCCTGCTGGCAGGTTCAGGGCCACGAAAAGTGCTTGCAGCTTCTGATGTTGACAGCCCCTTTCATGACAGTCGTTCTAATGTCGCACTTTCCTTTTTTCTTGCTTCAGCATATAAGATATAGAAGTAACTGACAAGTACTTGTAGAAGCGCACTGCTCACTTTCTCCAGAATGTCTTGTCATCCCCTTCGCCGCACCCCAGTCGTGGAATCACAAACCTTCAAGCTCCCACAATGCCTACATTGCTTTGTGGCCTATGTATCCCTGCTCTATTCTTTGAAGCCTCTCCTCTAGCAAAACTTGCTGTTGCCGTAGCATTGTTGTCCTGATTGGCCGCTGCTTTTATGTAGTGCCAGCGGAAACCCTAAACCCTAAACCCTAAACCCGTCCCTTAGGAGGGTCAAGATCTAGCGCCGGAGCATGAGCCGAAGCCAATCCCAAGCCTCCTCGCTGCGGTCATCCGAAACCCTGCCGCTTAGGGTTTAGGGTTTAGGTTTTAGGGTTTAGGGTTAGGGTTAGGCTCAGTTCCGTTCTGAAGTAGACACGAGTGCTACTGTCAGGGACGCGCGGGCCTCAGACTTAACTCTAACCCGGCTGGCTGCAAGAGACCTGGATGCAACAAAAGGGGTTTAGGGTTCAGGGTTTCTGGCTGTGGTGTTGAGGGGTTGGAGTTGTGGGCTTACGCTTCTTGGTCCTTGGGGCATTTTGCACCTCAGCAAGCCGCGGTCGGTGACGCGCCCATGATGGGCTCCTTTCCATCCACAGGCCGAGCGCAGGCCGCGATGAAATCAATTCTTGGCGATTCAGGGTGCTCACGACTCAACACTTGTAAGAGCAAGACGGCTGCAAAGTACGTAATTCTGTTGCCTGCCACAAGTCCGCCCCTCCCCTCCCTTGAGTTCTACTTCGAATCCCTGCACCGCCGCCAACTCAGCAGAAACGTTTCTGTCACCGAATTTGGGCGCGACTTCGGGCCTGATTTTCAAGCGTTCGACGGCGCCCGGGAATTAGCAGAAGATGAGGCTTTCCCTAAACGATGAAAAGGATTTTCTTGTGCTCCGCATATTGAGCCCACGGGTTTAGGGAATCCTTCTCGTGTAGCTAGGGGGCAACTACGGGGCGGCGTGCAACGTGGTGCGTAGCACACCTCACGCCATCCCGTCGGGCCGTGCCACGGCGCCCAATACCAGCTCATCACCGAAGGCCACAGCGAAGCCGCCAGGATGGACGCCTAAGACCTGGGTTGCCCGGCATCGAACAGAAATGGTCTTTTAACAGTCTTAAAAAAACTTAAAACGGTTCTGGTTTTCTTAGTTGCTTCCGGCACTCTTCTGAAGCAAGAACAAGGTAACAAGGTTGAAGCAAAACAACGAGGAGACCTTCAAATCGCCTTCGGCTCTCCATGCTCGGGCGGGACAGGATTCCACCACTGTGCAGAGCTGTTCCGCCCTGCTGGCTTCCGGGCAAAATCGGTGCAGCGTGATGGGCGAGGCTTTTGAATTCAGGTGGTCAGAGCAAATGGCATAGATGCTTCCATCCAGATACCGGAAATCGTCCACGGGGCGGGGAAGGTGGCAATGCATGGCTGCAACCAAGTCCGTAGCATATCTGAAGTCCACCATGCTGATGAGCCCTCCGGGGCTTGCTGAAGACCCAGGTACCAGACCGCAGAAGACCTGCGGGAAGCGGCCGGCTCGCAGAGGCCACAAGAGCATGTCACCCTCGTCGGTCACTGGGACGTCCAGCACACAGGGGTCGCTGCGTCGAAAGTCGAAGAGCATTGCTGAGAAGCTGGTCGTCAGGGAATGCTCACCGATACACGTCATCTGGTTTAAAGTGCACCCACCATCGAAACCGTCCAGGGCATGCAAAAACTTGCCTCTGCTGGCCCGGCTCCCTCCCGACACAAAGGTGAGGCTTGAATGCTCAAGGTCAATTATATCCAACCCCAAGGGTATACGATTCCGCCGCGTCTTCAGTGCCACAACCTTGCCCTCTTCCGTGATGCGGAGGTCGTTCACCTGGATAGTTAACGCAAGCCAGTTCTTAAGTCATAACATGTCACGGCAGAACATCGGCATGGCAGATTCTTGTGCTCCATGCTTTGCACGGCATCTTTTGCAATTATGTGATGGCTATGGGCAGACCTGCTCAATGACACACAAAAGAGTGTGCCGATTTTGTTGCAAGTCTGAACTCGATTCTGTTGACGTGACTGATGTTAGCTTGATTTAGGCTTGCACCCGCCTTGTCGTGGCACGAGACCTCCTGCAGCAAAGAATACTCGTTGCGCGCGGGGCACCGCCTGTCCAAGTTTGGGAAGTGCCAAGGGGATAGCGGGGGGTGACTGTCAAACCCCACATCCTCCCAAGAGGCCTCTCCCTCAACCACCTCTCCGAGTCGAGTGCCATCGACATCTCTCCCAACACCCCAAATCCCCAACGCTCGAAGCACGAAACCGGGCCGTGCCACACGCCGTAGGCTCGAACCTGGCCATCGTCGCTGCCGACACAGACCAGGCCTGCCCCAATGGCGCGTTGGGCAGTTCTTATGGGCTTGGTAAGAGCCTTCTGATATGAAGGCTTTCGGCTTTCGGGATCTTGTGGGGAATGGTTCTTGATGACCCTTGCGGGGCTGTACGGGCATCTCACAGCATCTCCGTGTTGTTGTCAACTTGTCATTCCGGGGCTTGTGCAGCTTCGGCTTTGCAAGATGTGCACATGTTTAAGTGACAGTAGCACAGGGCCCACGGCACGAAGCCCGCATGTGTCCAGCGAATTCTGTGTGCAGACGTGGCGCAACTCGACACGCTACTATCAGCACGAGGCCCGCCTCTGGCTACGTCGCAGCAGTTAATAGTTGACGGAGACACTTCCAGATTTGCTTTCGTCGCGGCGCTGGCCGGGTCCAGAATTTGCAGCCGTGCTTTCTTCCGCCTCCGCATGGAGAGCATTCTTTCACCAATCGATGCTGCACACATGCTCCGCCTTGGTGCGAAGACCCGGCCCCACCTCTACAAGCGGAAGAACCTCAAAAGCCAATGCCCCCAACTCTCCAGTACAATGTTCGAGGCATGGGATATGCGTGATCAACTTCCTTGTGCCTTGTAGCTTCACTCACAGTCACAAGCTCCTGAGCTGTGGTTCTCCTTAGCTCGTTCTGCAGGACACCCCCAATTGGTGTTCAAAGCCTTCGGCCATTGTCAACTCTCAAGCCATGCAACGTTCCTGGCCTTCTTGCAACTTCGTAAGCTGCTGAACTCCACTTCAAAGCTCCCTAACTGTCCCAATCCTGCGATGACAACCATGACAACCATGGGGCAGCTTAATGTCCCCTTTGTACCATGTTTGAGACAAAGCTCCGGTCATGCTGCTATTCGCCTACAAGATGTTACAAAGGAGGCACATCTCTGCAGTCAAAACTTGTGTCTAACCTGCCCTGGCAGAAGGCAATGGAAACAAGAGTTTCAAAAATAGCTCCCAAACTATTTGGGGGGGGGGGGGGGGGGGGGGAACGGCAGATCGAACCTCGAGAATGCGAAAGGAATGTTTTCAAAGGGTTGATGGGGAGAAATTGAATAGCTCGTGAGTCAATGGTTTCTTTTCCAAGGCCACTAGAAAGCAAATAACTCCCCCCAAAAAAGGATTAAACAACCCCAGCATGACCAAAAATCAACCCCGAGGTACTTCTCTAAAGCTTTTGTTTCCATTGTCTTGCCTGGCATCACCTGCAAATTGCCCAGAAAACACTGAAGCTATATAGCGACCGTCTACAGGCTTCAGACCCATGGGGTTTAGGGTTTAGGGTTTTTTTTTTCCCACCCGTTTCGCAAGCGTATACGGGGAAGAGGTCAGGCCTAGTTACCGCCAAAGTTCAGATTCAAAAGGTTGCTAGTCCGTTGCTGGAGCACCTGAAGACGGCCTTCGGAGTTCATTCAACCCACCAACAGCAGCATCAACACCCCCAAAACCAAAAAGCCCCTACACCCCCAGGACAGCACAGGACTAATTCCGAAGCCGCCATCCCCGGACTCCCAAAGTGCGAAAGTTTGAACCCTATCCCCCCCCAGCTTGCCTGTCCGAGTGGCTCATAGGCCAGGGTGCGGCCAAGGTGGGACTGACTTAACAAAATGGGCTACTTTAAGGATGGAGGGATGCACTCGCGCAGGCTCACTATCTTGGGAAATGATGCACAATGGGGGGCGATGGAGCTTCGTATCCCCGGTCTTCCAGTATTTAGTTCCTTTTTACTGTCAGAATACGAATACGCTACATCATCAGATTACGTCGGCAGGTACGTTTCCCGGGGATACATTCACGCTGCAGACTCGCCAGTGTCATCTACTTCGCTACAGCAAAGTTGACAGGGCTTCAAATGGGTCTGTTTGTTCCCTGAGCCTTGCATGTTTCAAAGGGCTATATAGCTCTCAGGAATGTCGGAGTTGCTTCCAGTGTTCAGTTCCCCCGCTAGATCAACCAAACCCACCTAAAGAGCATGAGCGTATGCTGAACTAGCCGTTCATTTGTTGCAACTCCTGGTGCAGTGAGGTGTTGTCTTGCCATGAGAGTACCCTTGAGACACAGTATTAGGTCTAGGCACGCCTGTGGCACCTGGCATGGGTACAGGATAAGGGCTCTCTCACCTGGCACCACCACTGGCTTGAAAGTCTTCTAGGCCCTCTCCTTGGGGTCTCAAGTGCTTATCTTTGCGTCCGAGATCACTGTCTCTTCAATGATTCTCAGGGGAGATGGAAGCTGAAGAGGGATTCAATAGTTATGGCCACGCCTGTGGCCAGTGATTCGGAATTAGGTCCCCTTCCTGGCTTCCTTCCCGCAGGGCCGACTAGTTTCACACATGGCAGCCACGCATGAATTCTTGAATTCCGAATTCCTGAATTCAAACATGATCATGCAACATGCTTCGTGCAGCCCCGTACAGCCGCATGCAGCATTACTCAGAGAGGTGCATTCGTCACAATGTCATCAGTGCCACCAAGCTTTCAGATATAGGCGTGCCACTGCTCAGATGCCTTGAACTGCATCATGCAAGCTCCCTGAAGTTACGTTCCGCGTCAGAGGGCCGCGTCCAAAAGGATAGTCAGTACGAATTCAGCATCATGCAGAGAGGCTCAGTCAGCATAAATTCACGAATTCTACAGAGTTCCTGCAGAGTTTGCATTATTACAACAGTAAGTACAGGTGCATAGGATAACCGTGTTATGCAAACTCCACACCCCTTGGTACGTATTCCTCTCCAGAGCATTGGCGAACGAAACGTGCAGGAAGGCTCAATCAGCATGAATTCATGAAGTCGTTTCTGCAGAGTTTGCATGGTCACAGCAATAGTAGTAAGTAGAATCTAGGCACGCCTAAGGCCAGTGTCAGCTGGGCTTGTTACGCAAACTCCGCACCCTCTGGTATTCACTCCTCCCTCGGGCGTCGGTGGACGAAACAACGATGGATACGTACGTTCATGTGCATGTCTTTGCCAAGGGAGCGAGCACTCAACCCTAGGTCCCCACCCCTTAGTCCGCGTTTCCATGCCTTGGAGGCTCAGAGACGTAGCAGTTGGTTGGCACCGACGAGAAAGCTGATTTCGCTGGCCATCAAGCTCTTCATGTGGTGCAGGCTTCCGGTCATGCATAGTGAGCGACTATTGGCCATTCGCATGCCCTTTGCCCAGTTCCTCACCTATGGCTGTCGCTCTGTCGGAGCCTCTTCCACCCCTTCCAGCGCTTTGCACTCTATCTCACTGCTTCATGTGTTCGCTCTTTATCCAGCGATCACATCCGGACCAGCAGGTGGCAGGTGTTTGGCCAGGCCGTCCATCCATTGTGGGGAGCAGTAGGCTGAGAGTCCTGCATAGGCTGGCAGGGCCCATCGTTGACCTGTGTCGGTGTAGGTCACCATTTCCCCTGCTAGCCCAAACATGGGCAACGGCCATTCCAGTCCAGCCCCTTGCTGGATGTCTGCAGCAGAATCGTCTGCAACTGCCCTTACAGGTTTGACAGTCGGGGGAGCGCCGGCAGCCATGGCGCGGTGTCTGTTCTTGGTAATGCTACCGAATTAGGGATTAGGAAGTACATGGGATTTCATAGAAGGTAGGGGGGGGGGGGCAAGCAGTAGATGTTCTCAGAGAAAGCATTTTCTAAGGTGGGCGGACATGAGCTTCTTGGGGCCTGTACCCAGCAAACACAAGCTTCCCTCATAGGTCCCTGTGGACCTCCCCCCTCCCCCCCAACCGTTCCAGTGGGCCTAGGCGGGTTTGCGGGGCAAGTGGAGTGGGTCCGTACGGGCATGGTGTCCATGCAGTACTGGCGGGTGGCATGGCGCTGGCCGGTACCATGACAATGCAGCACAATCCATGCATCCCTTCACAGCGACAGCGAGCTCACAGTTTCGTACATCACGCAACATGTACAGACATGCAAATGTAGAAGTCATGCAATAGTGGGAGACGTGCGGTGTGCAATGCAGCTGGCCCCCTGGTTGGCATGTGTTACACACGCAGTTCCTAGGCGCGCAGCCGCCGACTCCTTAGTCGGATGCGGTCAGAAACCCGCCGGCGCCGTCCTAGCCCTTTTTGGGGGAGGCTCCAGTGGGGGGGGGCAAGGCTTAGTAAGGGGGGGCCCATAGGAGGGCGAAGGCCTCCCCTGCCGTGTAAAGGTATCTTCCAGATCAGCATCCTCTTCCCACATGAGTCTTCGTATATAGCTCATTGGGGGGGGGCGGAGAAGATTCCCTCTACGGAGCCCCACAGCTTTGACAGGTTCTTCGTCCGAGCTCGTGACCAATGGCCTCAGTACACTCAAGTTCAAGCTCAGCGAGCTGTCCTGTCTTGTCTATTCCTACACTCCCTCTGACCATGCTGCTAGGCAGCGTGAGCTGCCGCAGCTCACCCGGACGGATGACATGTGCTTTATAGAAGCTAAGTTGAGCCTTAGTAGGCAGGCAGAAGCCCGCAGCCGCAAGAAGACTCCTGACCTCCTCTGACAGGGTCCGGACGGTCCAACAGTAAAGGCAATTAGGACAACCCTCCTGGCCCCCTTCCACGGCGTGGCCACATGCTTCAGGCGTGAGGCAGAGAAAACAACTGGCTTAGCTTCCAGGCTCCAAATCTTGCCTTGCATGGTTCTACCCTCATATTTAAGGTGATCAGGCCCCCCTGTTTGCTCAATCCACAGGCCCCCACCTTGGAACGTGGTGAGATTCAGGATGACATTCGGGGGGGATGCATTGCGCGTGTCAACATGAACTCCATGTTTCGCCCCTTCCAAGATTGTGACAGTGCTGAAAGGTATCCCAGGAGCATAATGTCTGACAAATTTGGTCACAGCTTGAGTGACACAGGGAAGGTCAAAAATGTTGTGCAGGGGGGCGTTAGAACTTCTTGGATTGCCCCCCGTCATCATCTGCCTGGCATTCGTGGGACCTTGCTTACACTGGGTGGGAGCCAAGTCATAGAGCTCCAGGATGTGCTCTTTTGTTAGAGCTTCGGGGGCTTGGAGGAGCTCAAAAGCCCGCCTCTCAGCCTTTTCAGCAACCGATTCCCCGTGGAAACTCATGTCCGTCATGATTGGGGCACCAGTTGTAGGGAGAGGAAGGAGGGGGGAAGGGGAGGTTAGGAGTAGAGGTGTGTCAGAGTAAGGGTCAAGATGCATGCACTGGCTTTGTGCTTACAATCAGCTGCAGCGTGGCACAGACTAACCCCTTTCCCCAGTCCCAGCGGGGGACCGGACAGTTCGGTTGCACGTTCCCGTCATGTGCCCTTCACCAAGAATGCAGACTGACAACAGGTTTGGCATGCAGTATGCGACATACTCTCCCTACCTTGCTGCAGCTTCCCTAGAAAAATGCACATGCTTCTGGCTTTCCTCTCATGCCACCTCGCACATCCACTATCCTCAGGGAATCCGGGGATTCAGGAGGTTAGGGGTGCTGGTAAGGTAGCCCCCCATCCCCAAGACAGGAAGTGGTACACTTTTCAGCACGCCTTTTCCGTCCCAGACGAGTACCCTCATCAGCACACGTCAGACTTGTATGTGTCGAGCATAGGTACACCGAATTCCACAAGTTCCGCAAATTCCCGAAGATCTTTAAATTCTTCTAGGCTACGAATTCAGCATGCGTAAAGTACAGTATGACCCAT